TTAGAGTGGTATGAGCTTCTGAAGTATGAGAATGTATTCAAACTAACTACTAGCTACGCTAGACAGTTGAATTACAGAGACTGAAATATCTGTAGGGACAGGGCGTTTATATAGACCTTATTCTTGATATCCTTATTGCCTTACTCCTAGCGATCATTTTGATCATTATTGAGCGAAATGATCGCTCCTACCAATCAGCGTTCTCCTGAATCTACTCACGTGTTACTTCGTAACAGATACCTTGATCAATAATTATTAGCTAATGCGCTTATTCTGCTTATTATTAAGCAGAATGATCGCTCCCACCAATCAGCGGTACTTTAAGGCTGCTCACGTGTTACCTCGTAACACAATAATAGACTTGTAAGTTATATATGCTAAGATATTTTAGTATATATTCTAAATATTTTCCCAAGCTTAGTTTGATTCCTTAATAGTCAGCTTTACCTGTAATCTAAGTACATTGTTCCCTTTCTTAGTATTATACTTTACTTCATCCCCTTACAGATGGAGAATGTTAACAAATAGGCCGAGAAGATTTTAATCCGGACTCATATATGCAACATCGGACTCATTGATTGATCAGCATTACAAAAGCTGAGATGGACCTATGCATATACACGATCTGCCGCTGTGGTCGAGCTTGCTAAGGGATGACAAAATATTACTGCAGAATATCTCCAAACGCTAAGATTCTCGATGCTTACATTTCTGTACACCCACACTCGTATATAATTCATCAGCTCTATCCTTCATCATGTTTCCATGTCAAACATATAACCAGCGATAATCGGATAACATCTTTCATAAGTTTGGCAATACTGATTAAAGGCCTAGCTTTCATACTGGCGAATCTTAACTCGAGTCACTTCCAAAGTCATTGCATCACGTCTCCCATGCAATGTCATCGACAATTTCGAAAATATCCAACCCAATCTTAACAAAATTCAAGGTTACACCACGCCGTTGGTCCGCACGTGGACATGCTGATCACGGTTGGTTGTACACCTTCCACACGTTTTCTTTTGCCTCGTACTACGACCCTAGGTACGAATCATTCGGACCTTTGCGCGTCATCAATGAAGACCGCGTAGAGAGGGGGACAGGTTTCGGTACGCATAGCCATGCCGAGTTTTTGATTTGGTCGTATATTGTAAGCGGAGAGTTGGAGCACAAGGATTCCATGGGCAATGTTGAGATACTCCGCCGCGGAGAGGTACAGTTCACCAGTGCGGGTACTGGCATTAGACATTCCGAGTACAACAGGAACAAAGAAGAAGATAACCACTTCCTGCAAATCTGGGCGAAGCCTAACGTTCGTGGCTTGGAACCATCGTACATCACGCGCAAGTACACGGACGAAATAAAGCAAGACAAACTCGTTCGCATCATTGAGTCTAAGGAGCGACATTCTGGAGGCAATTTGGAGAACGATCCAATTCCAGCGCATGCAGATTTGAGTATGTCCGCGTCCATATTGAATCCAGGCAAAAGTGTCTCGCATGAAGTGGTTACCAGAGGTGAACGGAAGATCTTCTTGCATGTTGTTATGGGCGGGCGGACGCAGCCAGAGTCGGGTGGTGCGAGAATCCGAGTAGGGGACGTTCAGTTGGGGGAGGGTGATGGTGCATTTGTGGAAGAAGTGAGGGGGCCTGGTCAGATCACTATCGAAAGTACTGGAGAGAAGCCTGCCGAATTTCTTCTCTTTGACATGGGGTTGGAAGATGCATAGCGTCTCTGCCGTGAAATGGGTTTGTTTAAACAAGGGCCGTGTACGTATCGTTTCTGGCTAGAGGTCGATGATGATGCACAAGATGCTTCCTTCGCCTGGTAGATGATCATAGGTCGCGATTTCTTGGTACGAAAGGTTCTGCAAAATGAAATTAACTATTCCAAAATCTCACTTCCAAATATGAATTTTTTCCAATTTCTTCCTAATCTTTGAACACCGTATTTAAGTTCCCAGCCTTTGATTTCGCATATTCTGCGCACTATTGCCTCGAGGCACTCGTCCATGTTGGTGCCGGCCATGTGCAAATCGCTTTCCACAAGGATTTTATCATCAGGCAACATCTTGATGACCTCTGCGGCTTTAGAGTTCCCTTTGCTAAAGTTTATCACCTCAGAGAAGGAGAAAAATATCTCCACAGGAACTGATACATTTAAATACTGCTTTACTTGATCTACTGGACCGGAAAATGAATGTAGACATATACGTGGTGGATATGGTTTGGTCTCATCGTCTATGGGTCCGTGAGCGTCAGCATTGTGCTGTGCTGCGGATTTGAGCTTTTTGCGATCGCGACTGCTTAGAACTTCCCGCTCATAACCCTCCCACATCTCGCAAAGAGTCTCGAAGAGCATCCCATGGCATTGCGAACCATGTATGGAAGCTGCCCGTCGCATTTCACCGGCAATTTGAAGTTGTGCCTTTAGCAATTTCCGTTGGTGGGCCATAGAAACACGATAAGGCGACCATTGTCGACGTGGATGCCCGTCAACCGTAAAGGAACTATCTTTGGTGCTTTCAAGGCCAGTTGAACGAAACACTGGAATTCGGAAGGACTTATCGAGACCCACTTCGCCGATCAAAGCAAGAGGGTATCTTGCAAGAAGCTTTCTGGTCTCTTCCAGGAAACGACTCAACGGCCGTGGATTTGGTAAATTGAGCAAAAACTCTGTGTCTTCGCTACTGGGAACCAAGATTCTCTGGAAATGAAGTATACGCTGTTCGTCGTTTAGAGCATTCGCACCGTCATATTCGAGTTCGTCAAACAGTTGGTATGAAAACCAGGGATGCCAACCAAACGATGGAATGACCTTCGGTGCCTCGATCCACTGATCTTGCAATGGGCTTTGACTGACTTTCAATCCAAATATGTCTGCCACAGAAGAGACCAAGCTCTGGTCCTCAGCTCTTGTAGCCATGACAGTGAGTACTCTTGTCTTCATTGAGGTAATGCATGAAATGTTCGACATGGTGTCTGTCGGATGACAGTGTGCGTCGAATACTCCAAGCGCCCACGGGAATGCTTTGTCTTGATTTGTCATGTTAGATGAAATATCGTAAATACCGCCAGGTAAAGCATGAATTCTAATATACATATCGAGGCAACTGTTGTGATGATGTTGACGAAGCACTATCACGTGTCATGGAGCAGCTTACCCTGATTATCTGATTGGTCGATGGCTTCCACAATCAATAACCCCACCAACATCTGTCTGGCAGTTTAAATTCTGTTTGAGTATAGGATACTTTTTTGATTGTTACATGACCCGCACGTTCAGAAGTCAGGTCTGATGTTGCGTAGTCTAAAATCTGCCAGAGACACTAAAGAAACTTTTGAGTCAAGAATGAACATTACCAAATTCGTCGTGTCTCACAGGGAAAATGCGCTACTTATTGGCGATTACAAGACTTACCAGCATCAATTGACCAAGCAGCTCGCCTCCTTGCGTAAGAAGCTAGGAAGAGCCACCCCAAAGAATGGAAAGTACACGAAAAAGCCTGCTGTGACTGCAGAGGACATTGGCCGCAACCATGAGTATGTATTTCACGGACGGTTTGGCGAGACGGTATGCTAATTCCCATGTAAGATTTGTGTACCTTCTTCTCCTTTCAGCCGAGCGAGCATATGCACACGCAATGTCAATGAAGAGTGGGGGAACGGAAGATGGCACGGGACTCTCTTCTGCGACTCGTCTGCACATTGCAAGTCGGATTAACAAAGCCGCAAATCATGCCCGCCAGCTTGCGGCTCTTCTATCCATTCAGGAGCTCTCCACGGCCACAGAGACTGATATCCTAGAGGCCAAAGCGTATGCATACGCTTTTGCCGGAGCAAAAGACCTAGAGAAACATGGTGCGGACAGCAGATCAAGCGACATTGAGGTGCAACGGGAAAAGTGGGCATCGTGCTTGGAAAGTTTCTCAGCGTCGAGGGTCATATATGTTGCTTTGTTTAAATCAACCAAAGAAGATGTTCTTAAGGAGTACGTGGCATCAACTATTGACCCAAGCATCCGGTTTGCTGCGTACCAGTCTCATATTCCTCGAACTGTAACTCCAGTCACTGTTTCTCGTAAATACTTCCCAAAGGACGAGAAGGAACTCATGCAGATATTGCAGAAACTTGATCCAACTGCATTTAGTGATCAAAAAGCGGCAGAAATTGATGGCGGTGCTGAAGTCCCAAACAGAATTAAGTGGCGCTCAAGAACAGCAAATATAGTGGACACATCCATCGGCCAAGCACTCGCTGCTGTCAAAATAGAAACAGGTCGCCTACAAGCAATACTCAGAAGCGATGATGTCAAGGATAAATACACAATATATGATCCAGTTTTGATCGCAGCTCAGGATGCAGTGGATGCGACCCGCCATGCGATCGACGACCATGAGAAAGAGAGAGTTTCGGAATCGGATCCAAGAATGCAGGAATTGCGGATCATAAATTTGGCAGTAAATTATGAGCTTATCGGCTGGAGAGTAGGTCGAAACCGGGAATTGATTGGGTCCGACGATGGCATGAAGTTGAGCAACACACCAATAAAGAGGCAAAATAGGCTAAGAAAGGATGGCAAAATATGGGCTGAGAAATCTGAGGGAAAAGGACGTAAGCTTGTCCGACTAAGAGAACGAATTGTGCTTTACAACGCAATTTTGCAAAGCCTCGACAGTGTGAAGGATGTTCCCGGTGCGATGGGGGATCCTGCTTTTGTCGGGGAATTGGAGGGTAAAAAAGCTTATTTTCAAGCTCTTAAGTAAGTCAGAGTTGTTCGGCGATCGACAGTGAGCATTCAAGACTGACCAAACTAGGTGTCTTAACTTGTCTTTCTCGCATACCCTGGTTTCACCACCGGCACACAAGCATGCACTTGCTCTCATAATTCGCGCTGAGCAATTCTCATCTCAAGCCAAGGAGTCTCTACTGGGGCTTGCACCTTCGGATGAAGCATCCCCACTTCGACTCGAAATTTCTAAATCTCGTCTTACCAAATTACATAACCTCATCAAGTCTTACCATCTCCAAACACGTGCCCTAGTAGAATTGCAGGATCACCTCAACAATTCGCCAATGGCTGCCCGCAATATAGTGGTCTCTGCAGAACCGCGAATGGAGTCTCCGGATGACTACACCGGAAAGGGTGATGTCGGTTTAGTTAAGCTGGTGGAATGGCCGCCAAAATTGAAGCCGATTCCTCTTAAACCGCTTTTCTTTGACACGGCGTGGAATTACGTAGAATATCCTGGAAAAGCACCTGCGGCTACTGCGATTACGAAGGAAGACATTGATGAGGCCAAGAAAGAAGAGAAACCTTCTTCAAAGGGTTGGTTTGGTTTCGGCCGTCGTTGAATCATATTATTTGCTGCGATTATATTAGTATTCAAATGTCAACATGGATTGGTTTCGGAGGACACTCAACGACTCACATGCAAACGTAGACTTTTGAACGCTCTTGGTCTTAATTGTATTCAGCACTAATTTTGTCTTGAAGGTCAGGATTCGCATGCATGCATGGAGTACCCCCGTGGCAGTGCTTTTAACTGCTGATAGCATAAGTATCAGTGTATGATTTGCTAAGGATTGTTCAGTGACAGTTGAATCCTCCACCTAGGCCAGATTTAGTTCGGTGGTTATTTTTGGATGAACAAAACAGAATCATTATGTGATTGCCGCTTAAGAATTTGCATTTTCATTAGGAGACTTAAGCACACATTTGGCTCGAATGATTTAATTATTGATATGGGTTTGTAATGGCTATAATACTTGAATGAGGGGCATATATAATTAAGAAGTGAATATTGACGACATTGTTTCCGAATAGTTTTTAGAAGCTTACGACATAAAAAATTAGTATTAGCCGTGGCTGACAGCATTATATGAGACCTGCAACGCCCATGGATCTTTGGCAAGTAATACAAACATGACAAAATAAGGGATATTAAGTTTTCAACCAACGGAACTCCAAAATTGTCAGTACCTTGCTCAGACCCTATGAAATTAAGACGCGGGTTTTGGGAAGAGTAAGGGAATTGCTTCCGCCCAACCTCTCTCAATCACAGCCTCGCGCACAGTTTTCCCATCGTCATCTGTAACTTCAAGGTCGAGTGGATTGCCACGCTCCAACAGCACCTTGAGGATTTTTAGGTTTCCAGTTTCGACAGCTTGCAGGACCGGATTCCAACCACGGTACATTTTATTGATATCGGCACCTCGATCGAGAAGCATCTCGATGCACTCTGTGTCGTTGTGGGGACAGCGACGAATAGCCTTGATAAGGGGTAGATGTTCGCCAGGCGCGTTTGGATTGGCATTGGCTTCGTAAAGCAGAAAACGAACAATCTCCTTATTCTGCTCGCGAAGCGCCGTCGTGAGCGGGGAAAATACACCACCTGTCTTGTCTTCTACACTGACACCAGCTTTGAGCAACATCTTGATGCTCTCAAGCTGGTTTGCCAAGACGGCTTGTTCGATGACGCCGCGAACAGAAGAAGGTTTCTGTACCACCTTTAAGAGTTTCTTAAGCACTGGCGGTCGTTTGACGGCCATGATTAATGGCCAGTCTTCTCCTCGCACATTTGGGTCGGCCCCATTGGCAAGGAGGAGGTCAACCAACTCCACTCGATTATCTCGAATCGCTGTTGTAAGGGCCGTTCGGCCATCCTCATTCCGTGCATTTGGATCCACGCCTTGAGCGAGAAGCCATTTTAGTCCTTCAGTGTGGTTATGCGCAACGGCCGTCTCCAAGATACCTGCAGGCTCATTGAGGTTTGTGCCTGCAGCGAGAAGCTTAGGAAGGATATGAACCCTGTCGTGAGTGATGCACTTGAAATGGGGGTATTCTGAAGCTGGGAGATTTGGGTCGGCGCCGTTGGCAAGGAGAAGATCGACAATTTCGACACTGTTATCACGGATTGCCGAGCACAGGGGTGTATAAATGCCGTCCTTTTTGATATTTGGTGAGACGCCGTGATCTAAGAGTATGGATATTGAATCGATATTTTTCAGGCTAGACGCAAGTTCCATAATGCCCGGGCTCTTATTGGTGTCAGCTCCACGGTTCAGCATGAGCTGTAAGGCCTCCGCATGATAAGTTGATGGCCAAAGAGGATGTTTTGGGCCCGGCAAATTTGGATTTGCGCCGTGGTCCAACAGTAGAGCCATCAGGTCCAGTCGTACAGTTTGAATAGCTACGAATAAAGGAGTAGTGCCCTCTCTGTTTTTCGCATTTGGATCAGTCTCATAGTCTAGCATGAGCTCGATGATTCTCGGCGGCACGGTCTTGTTGATTGAAGCAATGAGCGGAGTATTTCCGCATCCCATGATCATGGCTGGATCTGCGCCATACATCAACAGCAGATGGACGATCTCGAAATTGCGCTCGTTGCTCGCGACCACAAGTGGTGTCACTTCTTCAGGACCTGCGGAAAGATTTGGATTGGCGCCGTATTTCATAAGCATCTCTACGGCTTCAACGAGGGATGCTTTAACGGCTGCGTAGAGTGGCGTATACCCATTGCCGTCTGCAGCGTTTGTATCAGCGCCGAAGAGGAGCAGAACTCTGACGATTTCCTCATCTCCGTTAAGACAGGCGCGAATCAGAAGATTTGGATCGGATATGTCGGCACCATCATCCAATAACCTCTCTACAGCGCTGCAGTCTTTGTTTTGAATAGCATGCAGTAGAGCCACTCTGGAGTTGGGTGAGGGTGATCCACTAGGACGGGGTGTCCAGTGCGGGACAGTTGATGGATCTGCCTTGACACGAATGAACTTCGTTGGGTACTTAGGCTCACTATGGCTCGGCAGGATCGTTGTGTCTATGGCCCTGTTAGCTTGATTTCATAGAAGATTATTTCAAAGGTCACGTCAAAACAGGCTGGTGTGGTAATTGGCCACCATGCATTACATTGGGCATGTTGAATATGATCAACTCACCACGCGTGGAATCCCTAAGATAACTATCTAGCATCATTGTTGACTCAGTAGCAAATGATTCGTGCCTAAGACCATTCGAGCGACCACTTGCAGTACCACCGGAAGAAATGGTCGGATGGCGATTAAGGTTGCCTCGTCTGTCTTCTGAATATGATGCGTGGAGATCTGGCGGGTCGTATCTGCCGCGGCGCTCCTCTAGAGATGATGGCGTGCGTCGTTCTTCAGATGAATTGTTCAAACTGTCGTATCTGGGCAGATGAGTCACGATTGGTTGGCTCTTTTCAGACATTGCTCTCTCTGTACTCGGCAGAGCTGGGAGTGGAAGCTGCGGTGGCCCATCTATCAAGGTCTCGCCAGAGGAGGGAACAGAGAGCGGCGGAATGACGGTCGTAGGCTGGTTTACATTCATGCGCTCCATCGCTGCAAGAAGTCCAGTATATCCAATGCCGATGTTGGATTCGACCTTTGCATCTCCCAAAGACCACTTAAACACCAACGAACTCATCCTCAATGCTTCCTTGTCCTTGAGGAGGCTTTGTCTGACCTTGTCGATATCGGTTCCGGAAAACATGAGGCGCCATCCCTTTTGGAATTTACCCAGTGCGCCTTTGTTCTCATACTCCAAAAACTTGAGAATCATTTGATTTAGGACGCTGAAATCGTCAATTGTCTTCCGGAATTTCGCCTCCAGCTCCGAGACCATGTCGTTTGGGAACCGTTGCTTCTTTTGTGCAGCTTCTGACAAACCGGCCTCAATACTCCATAAGATTCGCGATAGGTCGAGGAAATCGGCAGCCAGTTCTTTGAAGCCCAAGGGTAGACTCTTGACCGTACTCAGGTACTCCAGCATTCTGACAGAGATGCTATTTCCCTGAGTTGTGGCCTTCGTGCAGAGCTCCAGTAGAGTTTCTTTGTGCTTGACCATGATGAAGAAATAGGTTCAAGACTTGTCGTCCTGGTTCTCAAGAAATGGTGCTTTGAGACGGAGCAAAACTTTGCGCACCTCTGACAGAGGATACAGTTGCGCTTTTGGAGCAAAAGAAAGATCCTCGTACGTGCCAAGATACAGCGTGAAGGTCCGGCGACTATTCTGCATGCAGCAACAGTGGCACGCTCCTGCGCAAAGTCTAGTCATGGTCAAGCTGCGGGACTCGGTGTTCCGGCCAATTGATCGCATGCATGACATCAAACCGGCTTCTTTTGATGCTAGCAACATCCGTGCTCTGGCGTCCAGCCTGGGGTCGGAAACTTCTAATGGTGGCGCACATCCAATGTTGCGAGATTGGGGTACCAAAGTGATTTAGCACCAAGTTCTGGAACTCCCGTGTTCGAGGAAGTGGAAGCTTTCATTTCAACATCTTCGGCGCTGTTGAAGGCGCTACCTTGTTGTCTGATGAGCGTTTTGTCGGCGACTTGACACATGTTCTTTACGATTCGAAAAGCGGTCTTGATGGCAAGGTTGCGCAAGCTGGCTGCGAACGAGTGATCCAGGCAACGTGGAACGCGCGCCATCGACGCCGACTCGCTTCGTCACTAGCTCCGCGTGTTAGCTTCGCTCGCTCAGGTTTAGAAACGGGACAACAGCGGATGAATCTGATGCCTGCATGTTTGCGACCCCTGAAAACTCTATTATTGTGGATACGGTTTCTACGCCTGGTAAGCTGAACGGAGCGGAGATGTTCTGGAAAGAAGACATATCGCGCACAGCGCGTTGCTGGTGATCCACTTCCACGACAGTTTCGTGGCAAACGCTTTGACGACTTGGTGTTGGCAAGCGAAGACTCAGCAGAAGAACGGCCGGCGTTGGAGGAGGGGCCTGATCGAAGTGGACACAAAATTTCTCCGCACGAATCGTGCATGGATTTGCGGAAGATAAATCGGAATCTTTGATTCGCGGGGCGCGCAGCCAATCGATGCAGGCGCACGCTCGGAGAAACGCACGAAACAGATTCTGGGGTTTGCAACCGGCCTGAGGTTGGAGGACCGTGTATCAAAGTCTGAACGTGCAAGACATGCCGTTGCAAAGACTCTGACTTGGCCTGCCCCCCGATCTGAGCGCTTCGCCCGCCAGTCGCCTGAAGTCCGGTTCTAGACGCTCGCTTTGTTGTCCGGCGGCGTCAAGAGGGATGCTGGCGCTAGAGAGCGAGGGGCGGCCTAGGTGCAGTCCGCGCCGAGTACCAATGCACGCCGCAAATTAGTGGCATCCGCGTGCTGCAAAATTGCTGTGGCTCTAGAGTGCAGCCCTGCCGCTGCTGCCATCGGTGGCTCATTGGTCCACGGCGATAATTTCCAAGAATCCACTGTCCGCAGCAGAATGTGGCCGTTCGCGTGGGCAGGACAGCGCCGCAGGCTCCCTACGCGGGCGCGCAGACGATGGAGATGCGCGGTGCGGCCAGGTCGTGCTGTCAGAACTGTCTCGGTTTCCCACCGCGAAACCGCTGCGGAACGGCGAAGGCCTTTCAAGGAGCATCCACGTTCGGCAGCACTCAAGACCAGCTCCGCAAAAGCAAAAAGCACTGAAGAGCAAGGCTTCCCTGCTTGCGAGTCCAATCCGGAGTAAACTTCTGTCAACAGATACTGCACCGTGTCCAGTGTCAATGTGTCTGACAGCTTAGCTCCGTATCGACACTAAGCGTATTTTGCAGTCTCGAGACTTCCCATCCTAGCTTACAAGATACACAGGACCCAGCATGAATAGCTAGCGGGAATGTAGATCACGTAAACGCGCGATACGTAGCGGCCCGTTACTTTCAAGAAATACTGTGCATACCTCTCAAGACCGAGATTCAGGCCTCCACGTTCGCAAAGACTCGCATAGAAAGAGGGCGGAGCGGAGCGCCGGTGGCGTAAATCTCGACGAGCCGACGTATGCACCTCTCCGAAGCAAGCCCTTGTACTTGGAGAAGACGAATTGCGCCCGTCCTCTTCTCTCCATCTAAGAGAATAGTCGTATTGCCTGTGACATCGTTATATTGCTTTGATTGTCATGACGAGGTCGTTCCGACAACATGTTCACCTCGTCCCTACGCCGTGTCTTGTCCATGTGGAAACATTAAAAGACCCGGTCTCCACGCAGGAAATGTTTCAATCAAATAAGAATCTTTTCATGGCAGGTCGTATGAAGACGTACCATGCCACTTTACTTGTTTTTCGAGACATGATTTTCTCGTTCGCTTCTGAAGAGTCAAGTGTTAGTTAAAGGTACAGCGAAAGAAGCCATTCGCGACTGTTGTATTCGGGCACCATTCGAAAGCACAACATATTCGTATCTTCTATCCAGTTCCAAAGAGACGACTGATTTCACTCTCCCGTCTCCCACGCAACCAGAGTTAGTATTTCGAGTTCAGTGAAGTCAATTCGAACTCGATCCACTACCAAATGTATTCTATTTTCGACTCTGACACAACCTTCAGAGGGCTCCGGCTTTCATTAAGCTTCCGTGTAGTGCAGAGATGCACGAGATCTGTCTCTTTCCTCTGCAACGAATGTAACATTTTACTTACACAATGGATACAGGCGTGTCGACTTAAAATGTGTTCCGAAATACCATTTGCTTGAAATCTTATCCGTCCTGAGTGTGGCTACTCACCCGCACTTGATCCGTGAAGACGTGACGCTCTTATGGCTGCCACATTGCTGGGTGTCCACAGCTGTATGCTAAGAGGAAACAGCGGCAGTTATAAGGAACAATGAGAACCGAGCAAAAAAGGCTATGGCGAAACGGATTGAAGATTTAGTACACTAGTCGGCGTGTCAACATTTTGCGTCAACAAGGTTCAAGCCTGGCACCTTGCGTGCTTGCTGATCAGCAATTCAATAATTTAGACCCAATCATCCAAAATGTTCTCCAAAGCCTTCAAAAAACGTCGTCCACGCCAGGTAGAACGTGTGTGGGTGATAAAGGTATTACGTGTATCACGTGAATTGACGTGTCACCGCTTAAGGAAACTTCGTCTTGGGAGCTAGCGAGGCCATCAATTGCGGCCGCGGGCTTATCTAGGCACAGCATGGACCGAATGATGGAGGTTTTGCTTCGACGGCATGCGGTCGAAGATAAGAGATCTCTGCATGCGGAAATCTTCCCGCGTTCGCAGGCCAAAACCTTGAGAACGCTGATTGCCGATTTTCCGCAACCCTCAGGCCCCAGATCCTCCTCTGATTGGTTGGGTCATGACCTCTGAGATGTTCGCCCTCTGCTTTCAGATCATTTTGTTTCGCCTGCTTCATGCTGATTGTATGCCGATACGTGCTTGGGCGAGATCTAGTTGATGTAATATGTCGTTGCTGTTGAATGCGCTTTGGCAGCTCACATCACAGCAGCTGTCCCAAGCTAACCTAGACACTCGATTCGATCAGCGCGAACAAGGAAACAGGTGAACTATTCGCCCTTTCAACAGAGCGGTTTATGACCGCAGCTGCTCCCCTGGACGCGTCGGTGCCGTTCGATCCATAGACGCCCCGCTTGTGATGTCGAAATTGATCCCACCGTCTCGTTGAATCACCATCTTCATCAGCTTCTCTTCCTTTTTTTTTCGCCATTTTTGCGTCCTGTTCGCTGCTCCTTTTATCATTTGAGTTCAGGGTTTTCATGCGTAACGACTGGTCTTTTCACTATTGACTTTGCCTTGCCACTTACTCGTAGGATAAATTTCCCTTAGAGTCCTGGCCAGCGGCGTGGAGATCGTTTGCGGAAGGAAACATTGCTTACCCGTCATCTCCGTCATGTCTCCAATTAAAACACTGTTCAACGACGAGCAAGTTGTACAAAGCACAGAATCGACGACGACGTCAAAGTCGGTAATACCGATTGCGGAGCGGGAACGGAAGCCATCGCAAACTTCTGAGGACTATGAATCAGGCACCACAGATTCACTAGATAATGAGCGACTATCGACGCAGGAGGGCCATGAACTTTCTAACAAAAATGCGCTGCATGTAGTCGAATCGAATAGAGCAAACACTCTCACAAAGTACACAACTGGACTGTCCGTCGTGACCACGACTGATCCAAACTTCGAGATCGACTTTCTTGACGATGACCCGGACAATCCACGCAATTGGCCCATGTGGTATCGATGCATCATCATTTTCATGATCTCATATAGCACACTGACTGTGGTCATGTATTCAACATCGTACACGTCGGCCATTCCAGGAATCATGTCTAGTTTCAACATTGACAACGAAACGATACCGGTTTTGGGCATAACAACGTATATGATCGGTCTTGCGCTTGGAAGCGTTGTATTGGCTCCTTTAAGTGAGATGTATGGACGTAGACCAATCTATCTCGTTGCTATGGCAATGTTCTGTCTGCTTACAATCCCCTGTGCATTGGCACCCAATCTAGAAGCGATCTTGATCACGCGGTTTTTTGGTGCAATTGCTGGGAGCGCCTTGATTTCCAATTCTCCAGGCACGGTCAACGATATTGTAACCGAAGAGTATAGGGCACTTGCCTTTTCTCTCTGGAGCATCGGTCCCATGAACGGGCCAGTGGTAGGACCACTGGTCGGAGGATTTGTCTTTGAAAATCTCGGCTGGAGATGGACTAATTGGATCATTTGCATTTTAAGCGGCGTTGGTTTTGCTATGTTGCTTTGCATCAAGGAGACGTACGCGCCGGCCATCTTACGGAAAAAGGTGATGGTCAGGAAAAAGGAAACAGATGATGGACGATGGTGGTGTCGTTACGACGACAAAAAAGACTTCTGGCCACTTTTGCGTTTGAACTTGAGTCGACCGTTCATAATGACCATTAAGGAGCCTATCTGCATTTTTTGGGATATATATATAGCGCTGCTATACGCAATCCTGTATCTCTGCTTCGTCGCCTACCCGATCGTTTTCTCGGACTTGCGCGGCTGGTCTCCAGGCATTACAGGACTCGCATATATGGGAATTGGTATTGGATCCTTGATTTGCATTGCATCCGAGCCTGCAATTCGGAAAATGATAAACTCACACAAGCCTGACCCAGCGACTGGAAGACCTCCTCCCGAGTCAATGGTTAGTATTGTCTGCATTGGCGCAATTACTGTGCCAATTGGCGAAATGATCTTTGCATGGACGTGTACACCAAATGTACACTGGATCGTGCCAATTTTGGCCGGCATACCATTCGGATTTGGAAACACAAGTGTTTTTATCTATGCCTCGAACTACCTCGTGCACTCTTACGGTATCTATGCGGCTTCAGCGTTGGCTGGGAACTCTGTTTTCAGATCACTAGTGGGCGGTACCTTGCCCCTTGCAGGACCTTCGCTGTATAGAAGTCTCGGGCCTCATTACGCGGGAACATTGTTGTCGTGTCTCGAGTTCTTGTGCGTACCTATTCCATTTGTATTTTATCGTTATGGTCATAAGATTAGGATGAAGAGCACTTTGATTAGGCAGATGCAAGAAGACATGGATCGCTTAGACGCCAAAAAGCGAAAGAACGAGGAGAGGATTGCAAGAGATAGGTCAAGAGCAGGGACAGCCATCTCAGAAAAGGTACCTGTTCATGAAATTGAAGCCGAATTGGAAAGAGTGGTAAGCAAAGCAGAGAAAGAGCTAGTCGTGTGAGACCATGATGATTTGGAAGTGCACCAAGCAAGCATAAGAGGCATCATAGAGAAAGCATACGATTCACGCGAGCGAGAATGCTTCGCTCTTTGATATAAAGACATCTCGACGTAGAGTATCAAAGATCACATTAATCATTTTCCTAAGTGAACAATTTCTCTGCCATCCCACCTTACGTTCAACTCCACAACTTGTATCAACGATACTGCAAGACAATTCCAGATGTGGACGATTCAGAGCCATGTTTGCCATAATGGATCGGCGAGGATGCCATTACCCCCTGAAACAGGTCTGAAGATGGAAATTGGATGTGCAATCACAACTCGTATCAATCGCTCTGATATTCCGCTTTTGTAGGGAAGCGTATTTGCATTTCGCTAGGATTGCAGATTCAGATTATCTGCCTTTGGATCTGCGACGGTAAACCACTCATCCGTTGCTAATTGCAGATTCAGCGTTGACAATCAACCCTGACGTCTCATCTTGTACCAGATAAATGAATACGCATTTGGATGGCATTATCCACGGAAAGATAAGATGCGCATGGGTTTCTGGATCAGTCCTTGTTTGATCTGGAGAGAAAAAAAAAGTCATGACGGGTATTTGAGGCGGAATACTCTCAAACAGCGATTGAATCAATTAGCTGATCAGATAGAATTTGCGACATTCGTATATTTAGGTAATGTTCAAGCCAAGCAAACGAAGTCAGACGTTCGGAAGATAACATCGTAATATTTGATTTCTCGGGAGACTGGTCTTACAAAAAAATAAGATATATGAAATAATTTCCTTCTTACGATGTCAAAGCCGGGTACTGAACCATGTCTATCACCAAGTTTTTGGCCCAAAAAATGTGCCCGGTGCCGGGGTTGCTTGGATGGCCGTCTGTTGTTGATCCATGGTTGTCGACACAACGTCATTGCCCCTTCAATAGCTTTAGCTAAACCTACAAGGACATGTATTCAGTGATTTACTTACCACCACTTAGGAGCACTGATATCGTTCATGGTGAAGACGAAGAAGATTACCAAAGTGCTAATAGCTAGTCCAGTATCGAGACCGCTAGCCGTCAAATAATTTAATCTAGACCACCAATTGAAGTGTCTATTTCTGATCACCTTTTGGAATATGAACCCCACGATACCCCAGCTAAGATAATTTAATGGAGTTGCAGGCGGGACTATATATTCTGTTAGAGATTTTCTAAATTTTGCGGCCATACATACTGCTTCCTGCTCCGCCGAGTATTATAGGTGCCATAGCATATTGCAAAAAGCTTCTGGGCCATCGTTTCTGTGCATACCATAATACTAACGGCAGAGCTGCGCCAATAGGGAACATTATCAGCAACGCACTGTACACTTGGCCAGGTGAGAAGATCCTCTGTGGGCCGAGCAGACCCCAAATGATTGAAGCGCTGAAAAAGACCTTCCCACCTGGACAGGTGAAGCGTTGCGCTTGGGTAGTGGTGCAAATCCCCTCAATGTTATTAAGTGCAAAGTTAAGTACGAAGATTTGTATGAAACAAGAGAGAATAGTTGCGACCACTTGGGCAGTAAACATAGTCCGTGGTGGGATCTTCATATAATGTCCACTGTAAATGATTAATAACCCTGGATTTAGATGCAGTTCATATTCAACTTACAATTTTAGGTCACCTATAAACCCAAGAGCTTGCGATGCAGTAATGTATCCATACGTTTTGAACATCATCAATGCAAGCGGTTTCCCCGGCTGCATATAGCCCATTAAAAACTCAGTGATAACATTAAGCCCAATCTGTTGATTTGTGATTGCCTGTACAATGCCAATTGGGAGCGTCATGATAGTTGAAAATGCGACGGCGATGAGAAAGGCCCACCACGCAAATTCAGTTTTCCAAGCCAAAACTGTCACTAGAGACAGAGCAAGCATGACGATGAACATTATGCCGTACCACCAAGTGGGAGCCTCGGGATATTTGAGCATTAGCTTCATGTGGATGTCTGGTTTTTCATCACGCGATGCTTTGAATTGGCGTATAATCTCGTGTCGATAATGTAAATAGCAATAAACCACCAGGGACGCAATTGTCGCGAATGAAAGTCCGTACGAAATTGCAAATGTGGTTGAGATAAAGAGAGGAGAATACTCGCGATAGGCAGTCTCGTTCAGTGTTAGATCTTCCGTGACAATTCTCGTCGTATTGTATGCAAGACCGAAATGATCGTAGGTACCTGAATCCGATATTGGTAGATATCGCGCGTACCAAGCCCCACCAAAATGCAAGGCGATCGCCCCAATGACGTTAAAAAGGACAACGCCAACAAGCGTGTTTGCTATGGCGTGCCAGGGTGGAATCAATGGATCGCCAACAAAACCTGTTATCTGGGTCCAGTCAAAAGTTATGGGAATAAGCGAAACTCCAGTACTTCCCCCAAACAACTGATTGATGACAGGATTTTGAGGATATATCCAAGTCATGAACGCAAAAATTGACAAGAATTGTGCAAGGAAGCCTGGGATGAAGTAATAGATGAATGAGGCCAAAAACACAACACCGAACCATCGATAACGAGACATTGATCCACCAAAAACTGTAGGGTCTGGAGCTTCGAACTTTTCGTGCATAGCATGCATCAACGTAACACTAGCCAAATTCGTTGGCCAGATCATAGCCGCTGGATAAACCAGAAATTTCCGAAGAAGTCCTGCAATACCATATCCTATTGATTGTGTTGTGATAGTAAGCAATAGCTGGAAAGCAATCCCGAAATTTTGTTTATAGAATGCAACCTGAGCTAGAATGATATCGGTCGCGTATGCCGTTCCAAAGGAGACACCAGCCATAACGACAATGACACTGTGTTCTTTGACATTAAAAGGGCCCGGATTCAAGTTCCTCAGAAGTGTCAGCGTAACAAGCACAATTTAAACGCCGAGAGCATAACTTTACCACTTAATTCCCATCGTAGTAAATTGCCTGTTTGGCAGAATTCTCTCCCAAGCTTTTCCGATGGCAAATGAAACCAGTTGCGCAACGATAGTCCCTATGGCGATTGCAGGTTGACGCAAAGAAAACAAAGTATTGATGCTGGCCCCGAAACTAGCCATTATCAATCCAAGAGTCCAGGCACGAATTGTATTTGCTGGCACGTCTTCGTCGTAGTTGGGAACGGCTGCTCGAACCTCTTCATATGGCGAGTTTTCTTCCTCTTTATCGAAGCCATCTTCATTATCAGCCCATGAGTTTCTATACTTTTTCTCTGGGTCATAGTCCTGCGGTAAGTTCATATCCCACGAGTTCAGCCTATTTTTAAGCTCCTCAACTGGGCCTCTGACGTCGACAGAGGAGATAAATACAGCCTTTTCCTTCGGTCCCTCCATTTTCTAATAGATTAACCCGTGCCTGACGGGGTCGACTTGAGAATAAGAGAAGAGTAAATTGAAGCCGGGCTTCAGTGCGTTTATTGCTAAGGAGGTCAACGCCTCGAGAGCGATTTGAAGCAAAAATGTTAGTTTTTATGGCATATTAGCAATGGATTGAATGATTGACTTTTCACTGTAACCGTGGGTCCAAGGGCAAATATAGCCATTTCATCGCCAAAGATGATAGCAACCTGAGAAATTGTACGTCGATTGGCCACAGAAGTCCTTATCTCTGAGCCTGAAGCACGCTATACAGTATGTTGCAATAAATTCAAGCTTTGTCTGGGCTTGTTTGGGGTTTGACGAATTTTCCCGAGTGTATTCATTGAGAGCTGCTAAGTTGTGCTTTGATAGCGGGATAAAACTTGAACTCGAAGCAGCTTTCGCTTCATGTGCCAAGGTAATGCAAGCTCCGTTGATGTTCCGAAATTGTTTCGTCATTGCTGGAGACATGAATTATAAGATCTACTTTTTTGGTGGAGCGTCGTAGTCTGCGAGATGTTTGGCAGTACAATCCTCCATTGCAAGGTTATCCGCTTGAGGCTAGTGTGTGTCAAATCTCGTACGGCGGGTGTCGAAGAACCACCCCTCTATCTGAAACGTTTGCGATCTTGATTCTAGTTCATCTTTATGCTGATAAGGCTGGTCATCCTATGAATGCATAATTTAAAGTTCGAAATTTAAAGAATGCTCGACCCCTCATTTAGTTTCTTTCGTGATGTTCTCTGTGACATCTGCGACTGATATTCGGGTGTTTTCCTTTCCGCTAACGCGAACCGAGGCCTACGAGTTACAGTTCTGACGAGATTCTATGCGAGCACACAAGTATCTTTGAAACTAAGCTCGGCTACAGAGATTTCGACCATCAACGATGCCGCTGGAACCAACGATCCCTCAGCGATAAAAGATAATGGAGATGGCACATCATGCCATTTTTATGGCGATTGACATGGAGTGGAATAACACGCTGTTGGCTGAAGCGTCCCTTACATATTCCAAGCTGATTATCTGCATGATCCATAGCTAAAACAACAGACCTATATCATATCATGCTTAATTAAACAGATAAGTCAAGGTTGAGACAACACAACCCTAGATCCGTTCGGCTTCTTGGTAGAACAGTAGTGTCCAAGGAGAGATCCAGTGATAAGAATTTGATCCTGTTCTCTTTTGTGAAAATTTTGGAATAATACCGTCTATTTGAGCGAATGTCGTTCATTGTAGTGGCGAATATCTTAGCTAAGGAGTTCTGTGTTGCAAGAGTAAATTAGCTCTATACTTGAGACTTATGCAACTTTTATATAATTTACGGCTTTAAGTGTTTACCTTTGGTATGGGAGTGAAGCATCAGATGGCTGAACAGACAGGTTAAGACAAGCTTTGAAACGCTCGCAACCGAGGTCTTGATTTCGACAAACTCTTCTCGCACTGAAGCTGTCATGCTGTAGTATGGGAGCGCTTCATATATATCCAACATTCGCTGATAGGGCTGAAAATTTGCGCCATATTTTGTTTCACAAAGGTGGTGGTGGATTATTCAGGCTTGATTTACATGCTCTGAGAGTAATGTAGAAATCAGAGCTTTGATATTAGCTGTACCAGATATATTAACCACGCAGTGGCCATGAACTGATTTTGTGAGCTCTTGTCGAAATAATGTTACTTCAGCGTCAACATTTTAATAGGTGTATATACCTTTAACCTCGCCGAGTCTCGAGCCTGGCAAATTTCTCCCAGTGTCCTAGCTAGAAAATCTTCTAACTTCGGCTACAAGCTTTGAAGAATATAGGATTAATTTAATCAATAATTCATATCTCATCCCAAATAAATCTTGCAGAGTATAACTGCATACTATACGATACCATTCTGAGTTTAAATAAGAATTATCAACATCACTCAGAGCTCCCTTATAATTATTATGATAAAGGATATTCTAGCATATTCTAAGATATTCTATGATTAAAATGATTACATTATCATATTATTAAGTCTTAAATATACTGAATAACACCGCTGAGAAACATTTACCTTAATTGGAATTTTCCACTAATTAAATATCACGTCGGAAATTCGTGAGGAATACAATGTCAACCCATAATGCTCCACTATCCTGCAATTAGCCAATTCTAACACGCCTTATGCCGGTTTGATAAGCCTACGTTGAAGGAGAATATTCTCTTAGTTAAGTTTCTGAGTACTGAATGTAAATAAGAATCTTGTCTAATGGGTTTAACTTAAAGAACCTTAGTGCTGTATTAAATATACTATTAAGAAAAATTTCTTTCCTCAAGATTTTCGTTTAATTCAATTGTTTAGTTCCATCACGGCCTAAGCTCGTAATCAGGCTGGTCAGCTTATCAGAGGGTGTTTCTATAAAAATTAGCTGAATTAGAGGTTTGAATATACTGTCCTTATTTCAAAACCTCAATATGTTCGGCAGCTTTCTATAGTTTCCTTTCGAGTAGTGGTCCAAGGATAGGATCACGTCGCAGAGTAATGATAGGGCTATCTTATAGGCAGAGGCTGTTAATATTATTGTAAAAAGTCGATGCTTTAGCAAAAGAAACACATTGCAACGCGAAATTACAAACTTGAATCATGCATATAAGTATTAATATTAGCATTATGCATTGTTGGTAGACCGGCGAGTCGGCGCTTGGAGCCACACTATTCAGGCTCCAGAAAGACGAGGTTGGAATAGCCGTATTGTATAGAGGAATCATTTATCGCAGTCATTATTAGCCCTAAGAGTCGTTAGCATTTGTGCACTATTAATGGAAACCTAAGAATTTATAATCAACATCAGGTTTTGTTTTAAGGCGTTTGAGACGACTGATGGTGACAATTCGAGGGAAGACAGAACGGCTCTTAAGTGATTCCGAATACTGACTGCAGCGAATGATACACTAAGGACTCTAAGTTTAGATTAGTAAATTTAAAACTACTGGATATTTTGAGTTCGTATTTAGTTTAGGAGATTTAGTATTATTAAGAAGATTGATAAATGGAAGCCTAGATTATCAGAGATCAGCAAAGAATGAGTTGCGTCAAATTGCAAACTTATGTTCGGCTATAAATAATGCACTAAGCGAATATCGAATATAATACCTTATCTTATGGTTCCGGAATATTTGTTGATGTGGGACACTTTGAATGTATGAATAAGGGGGAAATAGAGTGCCGCCATCAATTCGGAAAAAAAAGAGAACGGTTCACCAGCTCATTCAGCCATTGGATTTGAAAGCGTTTCTGAAATCTAGGAAAAGATTGGTCTAATCCAGTTAGTTTATTTTGTTAATAAATAGATCAAAAACTGAATGCCATCAGCGCTAATATGTCTACTCTATTCCGATATCAACTTCTCCACTGACTTTGACTCAGATTGTTCCCAAATGACCACATATAGCTAGAGACTTATATTTAACCAACACAGAACGTTCACTTTCCCTTCTTAGAATCTTCCTTCAAGGTCACAATCTGATTAAGGATCACACCATCAGCCTCGCTCTCTACTGGGTCTACAGCGAAATATGCCGTTCTGACAGCCTGGAAGCGGACGATGTCATCGCTAGCCCCGCTCGTTGGTGATACACCGTTTTCCTTCTTTGAGATCAATTCCTTAAAGGCCGGTTCAATAATAGCATTGCTGAATTCAACTTCAGAATTTGGATTAAGACTGTCAGCGTAACCACCAGATTTCCAGTCAAGGGTGTTGGGCTCGTCGACAGTGAAGAGCGCATTGTACTGGCGCGCTCTGACCTTTAGGCCTAGGGAGGCAGGCACCCAGTGAATATAGGCTTTTGGTTTAACGCCTTCTAACCTAGCAACGCGGAGTATGCCATCGTCACCGGTGCCTACATATTTCACAGCGAATGGGACGTTTAGTAAACCGACTGGCTGTTCAGGCGTAAGTCGAAAAAATTCAGGCGAATGAATGCTCTGGAAGTCAGATTGCTCGATGTAAAGACTCCGCTCAAGTGTAACCGTTCGGGAGCCTTTGGAAGCATCCTTGGGATCAAATGGTATCGTGAGATCTTCCTTGAAGTCCTCCGGAAGATCTTCTATGACGATCTTGATAGGGTTTAGTACAAGCATAAGGCGTGGAACTGTCCGTTCTAGATATTTTCTAACGCTGGCTTCAAGTTTGAAGGTTTGAATGTTTGTGTTTGCGGTGGTGACACCCAGCTCCGAGACAAAGTTAAGAAGAGCCTGAGCAGGTATGCCTCTTCTCCGCAGAGCGATCAATGTGTAGAGTCGTGGGTCATCCCAACCACGGACTGCAGGAGGTACTTTGCGTATTTCACCATTGGGAAGAGCAAACTCGCCACCCTTAACAAGAAGCTGAATCCTGCGTTTCGAAAGGATGGTACCTTCCACGTTCAGACGACCATACTCGCGCTGCATCGGGCCGACTTCATCAGATCCACGCTTCTTCAAATCGAGTTCTTCCAGCAGCCAATTATATGAAACTCGGGACTGGAAAAACTCAACTGTGCATAGTGAGTGGGATATATTCTCGATTTGATCGCATATGCAGTGCGCGAAGTCATACAGCGGATATATTCGCCATTTGTCTCCTGTTTGAGGATGGGGCTTGTCCAGAATCCTGTAGGCTGGGAGGTCGTGCATCTGAGGATTGCCTTCATTAGGATCGGTAAGGGATTGTTTCATGCGCAAGAAGGCTTCGCCTGGCTTATACTTGCCGTCCCGCATGGCCCTGAATTCTGCAAGAGACTCTTCGGTGGGTCGTTCTCGATGAGCGCATGCGTATCGTTTGCCTTTGTTGTCAGGTCCACCGCGCTGCATATTGATTTCTTCCTCTGTCGCCACATGTGTTAAAATTCATGCCTGACATAGCTGAAAATAAATCTTAAAGGAGAAGAAAAACGTACTTGAGCAATGACAAACATACGCCTTGTCCCTCCTGATCAATTCTTCCGCAAGCTCGTATAATCGATCAAAGTAATCTGAACTGTGGGTGATCTTATATGGTTTGAAACCCAACCACTCAACCATTTCTTTAATTTTCTGAAAATAAATGCTTTCCTCCTTCTCTGGATTCGTGTCATCGAACCTCAGGTAGCAGTCTCCACCCCATCGCTTTGCAAAGCCAAAGTTAACTGCAATAGCCTTTGCGTGACCAATGTGTAGAAAGCCATTGGGCTCAGGCGGGAAGCGCGTATATACGTGTGGGACCTTTTTCTCTTCATATACAGCTTTCAGCCAGCCTTGGTCAAACATCGAAGTTGGCGTCGTATTAACTGATTCAGCTGGCTTCTCCTTAGGTCGCAGAGCTAGCTCCGCCTTCTTTGCTGCTGCGGCAGCCTTTTTGGCGGCTTTGGCTGCTGCTCTTTTCGAAACTTCCTTTGCGCCTCCCTCTGCTTTGGAGCCTTCTGCCGCGGTCTCTGTCTCCTTGGATAGTACATCCACGGGTGGTCCCGCAGTTGGATTGGCCATATCGAGTGAAATCGAAACCAATGACAATTTTTGTCAGATCACGTTCAGTGAGCTCGCGTGACTCGCTCTTGGCTTGTCGTAAAAGACAAGGCTGTAGATGCAAAAGAAGAGGCTGCGGGAGGTATGGGCTAAACTTCAAGAGAGAACAGGAAGGCTCATTCGGTTTTTCTTGGAGAAGAAGAGTCCAGAAGACGACAGCTGCTCTGTACTTGTCTGAGTCAAAGGGCAAGCTTTCTGTGACAAGTCCCTCAGCCACGGAATTGAACGTGTTATCGATAAGGCCAAGTTCACCACTATGCGTATGCCCATCCGCTGGTACAGACCTCCCCGTGGGTCCATCCCTACATGGCGACGACCTGAATGTGCGTCCGAGCCGCGACCCCGTTCTTTGCTTTTTCTGGCTCGTCTTCGACCTACAAGTAGGCTACACCTTCACGCCAGTCGAGGGGACATTTCACTGCCGAATTTGGAGTTTGGCCCCGCCATTCGAGGGAGTTTCCCATTCGATGCCATGATCAACCCTGGCCACAGCCTCGGGCCCGTAGCATGTTGAACGGACTCACAAACCAGCCCAAATATTCACGGAATGCTATTTAGTATAGGTATCATTAAGACTTTTACCTATTAAGCTTCTCTATGCGCTCATTTACAAGTGCTTCCCCTATTCTTACCTACACAGTCTTATATATATACGTATACATATATACTATTTATAAGCATTAGACTTCCTAGACTCTTATCTACCTTCGCTCTTATATATAATTATAAGTGCTCTCCAGGCTCCTATTTGGTAGGGTGCTAAATATAGTCTATACTCACACAATAAGACTATTTGAAGTAGAAGAATCAGGTAAAGTAGAAAGGGGGCTACGCTCATTATCTATTAAAAGCTGATGTATTCAAAGATGGATCGAATTATTATAGTATTTGAGAAGCGGTAGAGTATAAATACAATGGCGTTACGTCTATAATATAGTTGTCTGTAAGAGGCGATCTTTATCAGTAATAATGGATGGATACCATCCAATAACACATGTCCCGTCCAGGGAGTTAGCTAGTAAAGTAAATAGAGATACCAATCACAAAGCTTGAGCTTCTTTGCTGCAGCGACGTCGACCTATCGTGTCCTGTTCCTCGAGCCACTTCTTCCACGCCTCCGCTGCGTACTTTTACAGGCGAGCCAGGTCGTTTCCGAGAAGTGTTACCGCCAGGTTTTTCCTTGCAATAATCGCCAAATGCCAATTCTCCGCATGGGCTGGTGAGCGCGACTAAGCTATCGCTGACAGGGTCGGTGGTACGGGAAGAGAGCTGGCTACGCTGTCTCCGCTGCTTCTGTTCCCTAGATGTTTGTTTCCGTCGAGCCCTCGCCAAAGGTCTTTCTGTACGCAGTGAAGATGTCGCGAAAAGGGTCAACGAAAGCTAGCCCTGCTAGTTCCAGCGCGATGCGAACCGTCCCCACAACTTTGCTGCGTGGTGGAGATGGCTCATACCATCGACGCGTGTTAGGTCGCTTGCGCGCTATACTATGAAGGTTACCGAGGCTGACTACCTGGTCACTATGGTTATCATCGCCACTGACGGTTTGCTAGCTTCATTTGCTGGACGTAGGGACAGAGTCTGTGGTTGATAGGAAACACGCTTGGAACGCGTGTCTGGCGAAAAGAGGGAATACGGACCGGATTTCCTCAGGTCGCTGCACCGGCTGCTCGAGATGACTCATAAAGTATAAATGTAGATATTGGAGGACTTAAGAAGATTGTGAATTCTACCTTGGTTCTACCTTGACCAAACGTTGTTTGGGAAAAACTGGAGAAGCGAGAAGCGAATTTACGCTGTGTATAGAAACGGGCAGGCGAGCTGAGGACATTTGGAGCGAGAAGACATCCCTTTTTATGCTCAAGCTGCGGCTCTCTCTCGTTCACGTTCTCTCTCCCTCTCCCGCCATCCCACTCTAAAATATCTCTCTGCGTCTCGCCACTTCACGGACATTACCTCTTTGCTCAGCTGCGGGATCAGTATCCTTGCTGCGAGACATCAGACTTCCTACACATGCCATCGGCTGTGACTGCCACAGTGATGAAAAGCGTCGCATTACATGAATCGCTGGTTCAGGGCACACTTTATGCAAGGCGTCATCGTTGACGATCGCAATCGCAGTAATCACAAATGCAGCGCAGACGGGGTTGGACGGTGTAAGTCTCCATCTTAGCAGCCTTTCGTTCATCAGAAAACCGGGCCGTGATAGCTGCCAAGTGCATCACCCTTCTTTTTCACACCTGATAGAACAGCAGAGCCTGATGTCGCGACTCCCGTGCAGGACTAAGGCCTAATTCCCGGTACCACCGTCATCCCCGCCGTCATCCCCGCCGTCATCCTCCCGCGGTTATTGTAGCTCCTGCAGTAACGACAGTGCTGCCGTCCATAGCAGACGAGCCGTTGGAAGGGATCGTGAAAGGATTACGACGAAAGAAGAAAGGTGGGGAGAGAGAGAGAGAGAGAGAGGCGTCGGAACTCGAATCAGGAAGGATATTCAGGACTAGAAGGATCGAGAGCGTGGGTCATGTTCCCTAAACACTCATTTTCGGTAGCCATATCTTCAGTGAGACGCTATGCCGCCAGAGGAAGACGAGGGACTGTCAGGAACAAATTGGTCCGCTGAGGGAGGACGTAATTTTCTCTAATCGCCGAAACGCTCAACGCCGTTAAGAACCCAGATATTCAGTGACGGGCATCAGAGCGGGATACATCCGGCGTCTTCATTGAAGCGCAAGCAAAGTGATCATACCACAGCTCGTGATGAAGCGACCTACATTGCGTGGCTGTTCAATGCGCAGATATCTTCTGTGTCAAATAAGTCTTTGTATCCCAAAACGGAACTCGCTGGAGCTGGCGTAGCTGATAAAGATGAGGGCAGCTACTGTGCCGTCCGTAGCCTCCTTCTCGCATCAACTACACGGACTTGTAGGCTAATAGGGAGAAATGCGAAATGGAGATGCCGACGGGGCGCAGCGAGGCAGAAATGGAAGCTACGGAGCATGAGACATTTTACTTTGTGGGCATATCGCAGAATTCGCATACGACATCGCAATGTCCATCGTTACAGGTGTGCGAAACGGCTTAAAGACTCCCGTGTGCATCCATGCAGTAATCTTGAAGCGCGGTGGTCACGCTAAGGATTCGAGTCATTCGAGTGAGAGACGAAGCTTGCGTCGGACTCAAATTGGGAGACTTGAGGAGAAGGAGGGCAAGGAAGATTCCGTGACAGCATCGACTAGGCCGATTCTTTCGATGGTAACCTCTGAAAAAAAGGTCGAAGGGTGGATGTGGCAAGCTCGTAGAATGGAAGCGAGCCGAAAGACGGGACGTGCGCTGGTGAGCGCAGAGAGCTGCAAGTTCGCGGCATGGCGATGACGACGTACTTCGCAAGTGAGGCAGAGCGCAGAAGGGGAGAAGGGTTGGAAGAGGAGGATGTGGTCGAGGATGGAGGGGGAGGGTCGAATCGTTCTAATAGACAAAGTTACAGGCGGCGGGTCGCTCAGCGAGGCGACCATGCCGAAAGAGGCCCCACCTAAGCCAGAGGCGGATTGCCCCGTCAAACAAGATTACATGGCCAAAGGAGCCACATCGCGAATTCCAATTCAACCCATACAACTCAACCGCGTCTTGTATACTCTCCCACTGCTCTTCAATCGAGGAGAGCAAGAGACCCAAGATGCCACCGTCGCCTCCCTTGGTTGACAATGCTCAGATCAAGAGCGCATCGTTGCACAATCCGCTACCCACCGCTTTTCGCGCATACACCTGGCCCTTCCTTATCCTATGGCCCCTATTCACAGGCATTTATCTCTCGCCCGCGCAGTATGAGAAGTACATTGGTGCCAGAGAGTGGACTCTTGTGTGGGTAGGCACTATTGGCACGTTGCAGGCGTTTGTGTGGTTATCAACAAAGTGGAACGTTGACATCCGGACCGCATTCACGACGACTAAGAGCAAGGATGTGCGCAGTGCCCAACTGATCAAGGTCATTCCCGTCGCAAACGCTGGCAGTCCTGAGATCGTTCCACTAGAAAAGGACGGCAAAGGTCGAATCAACTTTCTGTTTCAGAAGAGACGGTTTGTATATGACGAGAAGAAGGGTAGTTTTGCGCCTCTCTCCTATGCCATCGACGACGAGCCCAAACCGTTCATACGAGAATTTCAAAAATGCAAGGGTCTCACCTCTTCCGACGAGATCAAACGCCTGTACGAACACTACGGCAATAACGAATTCGATATTCCCGTGCCAACTTTCACCGAGCTATTCAAGGAGCATGCAGTCGCGCCTTTCTTCGTGTTTCAGATATTCTGCGTGGGGCTGTGGATGCTTGATGAGTACTGGTACTACTCTCTTTTCACATTGTTCATGCTGGTAGCATTCGAGAGCACGGTTGTGTGGCAAAGGCAGCGCACGTTGAATGAATTCAGGGGCATGAGTATCAAGCCATACGATATCCTTGTGTACCGCGAAAACAAGTGGCAGGAGATTCAAACAGATAAGCTTCTCCCTGGTGACTTGGTGTCAGTTGGCCGCACGAAGGAGGATAGCGCCGTGCCTTGTGACATGCTACTGGTTGAAGGGACAGCCATTGTCAACGAGGCTATGTTGTCGGGAGAAAGCACTCCTATTCTTAAAGACTCGATTCAGCTTCGCCCTTCGGATGCTCGAATAGAACCTGACGGTCTAGACAAGAACGCCTTTCTCCACGGCGGCACCAAGGTACTTCAAGTCTCCCATGGAGTAACTGTTGAAGATGCACCGGATGCTGTTCCTGTTTCACTCTCTGGCGTCCGTCCACCACCGGACAAAGGTGCAATGGCTGTTGTTTTGAAGACCGGTTTCGAAACGAGCCAGGGAAGTCTCGTGCGTACGATGATCTTCGCTACAGAACGTGTATCTGCGAATAACGTCGAAGCCCTGCTTTTCATTCTGTTCCTCCTCATGTTTGCCATTGCTGCGTCGTGGTATGTTTGGCAGGAAGGTGTCGCAAAGGACCGCAAGAGATCTAAGTTGCTCCTTGACTGCGTCTTGATCATCACGAGCGTTGTTCCTCCTGAACTACCTATGGAGTTGAGCCTTGCTGTGAACACGAGTCTGGCAGCCCTGAGCAAGTTTGCCATCTTTTGCACAGAGCCTTTTCGTATCCCTTTCGCCGGCCGCATCGATGTTGCTTGTTTTGACAAGACGGGCACTCTCACCGGCGAGGATCTTGTCGTTGATGGTGTAGCGGGGCTAGACCTGACGATAGATTACGAGGGCAAGACGGAGCCAGACGGTGCTCATAGTCATCTTACTGCAATCAGTGCTATCAAATATGATACAACCTTGGTTTTAGCCACTGCTCATGCGCTTGTCAAGCTCGATGAAGGCGAGATTGTCGGCGAGCCGATGGAGAAGGCAACGCTCAAGTCGCTCGGATGGACTCTGGGTCGAAATGACATTCTCACAAGTAACAAGGCTTCGCCTTCGGTCAGCATTGATGCTAATTCGTTTGTGGAACTTGTCCAGATCAAGCGTCGCTTTCAATTCGCGTCTGCACTTAAGAGGCAGAGCTCCATCGCCACTGTTGTTATCACAAACAAGCAGACCAACAAGCGTTCTAAAGGAACTTTTGTTGGTGTTAAGGGTGCGCCGGAGACCATCTCAACCATGCTGGTCGACGTTCCTCCACACTACGAGCAGACCTTTAAGTACTTCACTCGAAATGGCGCACGTGTACTTGCATTAGCCTATAGATGGCTTGCTAAAGATAACGAACTTGGTGCAGGGAAAATAAACGACTTCAAGCGGGAGGATATCGAAAAAGACCTCATCTTCGCTGGCTTCTTGGTTTTGCAGACACCACTTAAAGACGATGCGAAGAAGGCCATTCGTATGCTCAACGAGAGTAGCCATAGAACCATCATGATTACCGGTGACAATCCGCTTACTGCCGTACATGTTGCGCGCCAAGTCGAGATCATCGACCGCGATGTACTCATTCTGGATGCTCCGGAGGATGATCCTAACGGGGAGAAGTTGCACTGGAGAAGCATCGATGACGAGATTGATATTCAGGTTGACCCAACCAAGCCCCTGGACCCAGAGATCCTCAAAACGAAAGACCTGTGCGTGACTGGATACGCTCTATCTAAATTCAAAGACCAAAAGGGCTGGCTGCAGATCCTTCGGCACACTTGGGTGTACGCACGAGTGTCTCCAAGGCAAAAAGAGGATATTCTCGTGGGTCTCAAGGACATGGGCTATGTAACTTTAATGTGCGGCGATGGTACCAATGATGTTGGCGCTCTGAAGCAAGCGCATATCGGCGTGGCTTTGCTTAATGGCACGAAAGAAGATCTTGAGAAAATTGGCGAGCATTTCCGCAACACAAAGATGAAGGAGCTGTACGAGAAGCAGGTCGCTTTGATGCAACGCTTCAATCAACCAATCCCACCAGTACCACCCGCGATCGCGCATTTGTATCCACCAGGCCCGACGAACCCGCACTATGAGAAAGCGATAGAGCGTGAGGCTGAGAAGAAGCGTGCAAAGCTCGGTATAACTGCTCCTCCAAGTGACGAGAAGAAGACTGGTGAAGAGAATGGAAAGATTGAGACGATTACTACTCCCGGAGCAGCGGCTTTGCAAGCCGCCGAAGCAAAAGACAAAAAACCAAAGACTGCGCAAGAAGCATGGGCCGGTCAGGTAAACAACTGGACAAGCTCTCTATTGGAGTCTGATTTGGACGATTCTGAACCACCAACTATCAAGTTGGGAGATGCATCCGTGGCCGCCCCTTTCACATCCAAGCTCGCCAACGTGATTGCGATTCCGAACATCATCCGTCAAGGACGCTGTACTCTTGTAGCGACGATCCAGATGTACAAAATTCTGGCGCTGAACTGTCTCATATCCGCGTACTCGCTTTCGGTTCTGTATCTGGATGGCATCAAGTTTGGTGATGGACAAGTCACTATCTCGGGCATGATGATGTCCGTGTGCTTCTTGTCAATCTCGCGCGCTCGTGTAAGTTTCTTCACTATCATCTTCATTTACAAAATGGCTGGTACTAACGGTCCGATGATAAGCCTGTGGAAAAGCTCTCCAAAGAGCGGCCTCAGAACAATATCTTCAACCCGTACATCATCCTTTCTGTGCTGTCCCAATTCGCCATCCACATTGCAACCTTAATCTACATTTCGCAGTACGTGCAGCGAACGGAGACCAAGCCCGATGACATCGATCTCGAGGGCGAATTTGAACCCTCTCTTCTCAACTCTGCTATCTATTTGCTTCAGCTCATCCAGCAGATTTCCACATTCGCAATCAACTACCAAGGTCGTCCCTTCCGAGAATCAATCCGCGAGAACAAGGGCATGTACTATGGACTTGTCATCGTTGCCGGCGTGGCCTTTTCATGCGCGACCGAGTTCGTGCCAGAGATCAATGAGAAGTTGAGGCTTGTGCCGTTCACGACCGAGTTCAAGATCACGCTAACAACGGTCATGATCATCGACTACGTGGGCTGCTGGCTGTGCGAGCAGGGCTTCAAAGCCCTGTTCTCGGACTACAAGCCGAAAGACATTGCTGTCCGGAGGCCCGATCAGTTGGCCTTTGAGGAGAAACGACGAAAGGAGGAGGAGGCTGAGGAAGAAAGGAAAAAGGAAATGGAAGAGGAAGAAAAGATGGCCAAGTTGGGCTTGAAATGAATAGATGCACGGTTAGATGGATAACATGGACGCTGTTTACCGTTACATGCATTGAGTTGGAATAGCACTTGCATATAGCATGAATGTCAGGTATCACTCCTTTTTTTTGCATCTTGTAGCCTTGTAAAGATATCTTCTGGCGAGAAACAATATTTCTGTCTTACGCCTCAGTAATGTCAAGTGCAGCGCACCGTTGATGCTTTTCGATTCCGTCGCTGATTAACCTCAGCAGTTGCATATTCGACGTGGACCTTGCTGTTCTAAGCCTCACATAATGTTCCGTGCTCTCAATTATCTATACATAGAATGGTCGTCGTATTTTCCCTTCCCCTTCCTTTTTCACTACAACACGAATGGCCCGGTCGTAGGATGCTTGGATCTCCTCGTGACGTCCTGTCACCATCCGCCATAATCTTGAGAATGATCTTCCGCACCCTTGTCATTTTCGACCCAGTCACCGCGTGCAAACTCGACGACAACATCTGTACTGGCGAAATCGCCCGCTCTGACATCTCCGCTGTTGGGCAAAACGTTTGAGCGAGGGCAGCGCTTGAAGGTGTGACCTCGCTCGCCGCACTCCTTGCAGCGGACTCGACTCCAGTCTGTAGGCTTGGGGCACTCGCGACTCGTATGGCCTTGCTGGTCGCAGTTACGACAGAGCATCAGCTCTTTGTTTGGCGGGTTTGTGCAGTCCCTCCCAATGTGGCCTTGCTCTCCACAATTTCGACAGGTGCGTAGATCTTGCAACGGCTTTGTGGGACAGCCACGACTGAGGTGGCCCGTCTCGCCACATGACCTGCAGACATCACCCGAATTGCCATGTAAGTTTGTGCACTCGATGGCGTGGTGTCCGGGCTGTTTGCAGCTGCGGCACAATTCTTGAGGCTTATTCTTGCAGTTGCGACCACGATGACCTTCATCTCCACAGTAGACGCAACTATCTATTGGTTAGAATCACGGCAAGCTCAAAGGGGGCAATTTGTCAAAACGTTGACCCGAAAACATAAAAATGTGGGATGGATCATCAGCAGTGCAATGGGTTTGACGGCATTCGGGTATGCTTACATGATCTTAGGCGACTGGAAGCTATGAGCAACTCGCTCGTCAGGGCAACTCTTCTTGAGGTGACCAAGTTTACCGCAGTTGCTACACTTGGGAACGCCACGGCTGACAGCAAAACCAGCACTTTCAAGGCGTCTAAGATTCTCTTCCCGATCTTTTGGCCAACCGAGCGCGGCGCGTGGACTTTTCGGCTTCTCAGACCACTGAAACGTCAAGATGTACTTCTGGTCGCTCTCTCCTGCCGGAGAGACGATTGTGTACGTCTCGTCCAGGTCTCTCTTCTCCTTGGCGATCAGATACACACCAAAGTTGTTCTTGCGAAAGCTCTCCTCAAGCTCATGAGCCCTGATTGGCGGTACATTGGTGTCCTTCTCTGCTTGCTCGTAGTTGAACTTGCAGTAAGCTTGAAATGCCTAGTCTGGGAGTAAGTGCTGTCACTGGGCATTCAACAGCGACTTCGCTCGTTTAGAAGCCTTTGTGGAACTTACTATGCGGAAACTATCCATATCTTTGGCCGTGGAGGCTTGCTTCATGGCAGCCCAGGCCTCCTCATCGGACATGTCGAGTGCCTCTCGGAACATGTCAGTTCGTTTAGAGGTGCAGCCAATTGCCCTATGACCTTCTTGGCCACATAAACGACACTTCTCCGGGGGCATCTCTGGACATTCGACAAGGCGATGACCTTCGACGCCACACATCTTGCAGATACCTGAGAACGAGCATTGAACATCCTGTTTATCACATTCTGCCTTGATGTGGCCCGCTTGACCGCATTTATGACATTTTAAAGGCAACTTTTCAAGACATTCACGAGCAAAATGACCAGCTTGGTGGCAGCTGACATGGCCTTAGTCGCTGTCTAACGCTTGGAATGGAGGTGAGAACGTTGTCGAACACCACTCACATGTGACAAATATGATTGTCGCCATTATCTCTGCGACTGCTGCCGCCATTGGATCTATTACCATGTGTGTCGAAGACATTTGAAGTGCCAGCAGTGAAACTGTCAGAAATGTCAAGCTTAAAGTCAGGGACTTCCCCTTCATTGGCAAGACCGGTAACCAAAGACATTGTCAATGTTCACGGAAGTCTAGGAAAGTTTTGTCAGTGAGCAATTTGACAAGAGTCAGAGCAAATCGTGGGCAGCAAGCATACCGAATGAAGTTGATGCGATTGCAAGCTCGAAGTTTTAGGACGAGTCTGAAGATTATGGCCAGTGATAGGGTCGAGGTTGGAGAGGTTGAAGACACTGAAATGGCTGACGAGGGGGGAAGGAAAAGAATAAAGGAGGAAGTAAGCTATTGTGCGAACTTGTCATGTGCACGTCGTCGTGGTTGCCCGAACGACGAGCGAAGCCGTGGATGTGCGCGTCTAAGCACAGGTGAAGATACTCGATCTTGATGAGGTCAGCATCCATCACGCACAATCTCTTCATCGGCTTCCAAGCTCCAAATGTACGAGACACGGGAGCGTGATTTACGTGTGGATGCCCGAACTCTGCTTTCAGAGTGCTTTGTATGCCCCGGCGGCTTTCGCTTCGACCTTTCATGAGTTGTCTGATCAGATCCTGTTCAGCGCCGACGACCACAGTGCTCTCGGCTTGCCTCTACCTCTGGGGCCAACACGGATTGCGTAGGTTAAAGCATGTAGCAGAGCAGCAGTTTAGAAAGAGGGGGGTAAAAAATGGAGAGGAAGCAAATTTTCGTCTCAGGACGTAATTCTAGTCAGCACCTTGGAATGTACTCATTTAGGTCGTAAAAACACCAACATCTTCGTACCCAAGCTTCGTCACCCTTCTCAGACCAGATCAGCACAGCCTTACCTCCTCACCCCCATGCATATCAAGAACGGGAATTCCATGCTCCCTCCGCCCTCCACGCTCTTCTCCAGTCGGAAGGCCTGGCACACCTGCACCTTGTCGAAACCGGCCTCGTGCATTGCACATTCCATCTCTATCTTCGTGATGCCATGGCGTTGCACGCCTTCCATCTTACTGTCCGGATGAAACTTCCTGCTCTCCGGCCCGAAGCGCTCAAAGTCGGTGAGCGCGATGCGGCCGTTCGGCTTGAGGCACTTGTACATAAGCGTGATGATGTCGTCCAAAGAGGGAATGTGGTGGAGCACGAGGTGCGAGATGATGAGGTCGAACTTCTTACCACGAAGGGCCGGATCTTCGGCGTCTTCTAGCAGCAGGCATAGCGGGTGGATGTTGGTGAAGGAGCCGGCGTCTATCTTCGCCTGCAAGGCTTTTATCATGCCTGACGACGTGTCGACTGCCGTCAGGCTTCTCACTCGGGGTGCAACTTGCAGAGTCAGCAGACCAGTGCCACAGCCGATCTCAAGGACGTCAAGCTCTGGATAAGTCAGCCAGGTTTGTCAACAGAAGAGTGCAGGCCAAGCGAAGTGAGATTGTGAATGGCAACCAGACACGTCTTGTGAGCACCGTTTCGAGCTACAAGAAGGAGCAGCGGCAGGATCAAGGAGGCCTAGGCCACTCTCTGCTCTTCTGTTTCTCGTTGTCCTTCCTGATTGTTCTCTTCCTCCCAGTGTATTGAGTTGGAAGACAGGCCGAGTCACAGCTTGCGATATTACGAACAGTTCCTTCCACCATGTCCGTCTCGCTTGGCGCCACCGAAATCACGATGCAAGAGCACGAACGGGGGACATGAGCGGAAGTCGTCTGGAGCAACCGAGCGACTGACCGTCTACGCCTGCGATCTTCAGACTACACGAGGAAGGTATCTGGCAAACGCTGCGCTTGCCCAGCCACTGCAAAGAATAGAACAGTCATGACCCAGACGCTGGGATTGCGCAAAAGGAAACGCGCCTACCCTTTGCCCGCCGCTCATCTGCCAGTTCCGGCACATGCTCCAGGAGCGATCCGAAAGCCAGTTTGCTCGACTTGACCGTCACGGGATTGTTGTCCCATTCCGCGGCCTCCTTGTCGAAGCGGTCGTTCGCCATCGTAGTCCAGGACGGGAATGATGTGTGTTGGATTCAGCAGGGAGTTGGCGCGAATCGGTTTGGATCGCACGGCGTCAACAAGCTGTCGGCTTCTCAGCCGGACGAGGGGGGATGTCTGGGGGAGGCAAGGCGATGACGTCGTCGCGGAGGCTCCGGTGCAGGATGTTCGTTGCCGGGGAACGCCAGCCCCAAGCGGCCGCGTCGACTCTTGTTTGGGTGCAAGGACAACGGCAGCGAGGCGCGGGCTGCGTACAACACTGCCGGGTGCGCGCTGAGGAGGCGCCTGTCGAAACGATGGGCTGCGCAAGATTGACAACCGACAAGGCGTCGAGATGAGGCGTGCGGCAGATGGGGGTTTGCTTGCGCGTCAGAGCAGCAGCGGAAACGCAGCGCATCTCGGCAAAAGCGGCCAGTGCCCGTGGGCATCGCAAGGCTGTATCATACAGCCACACACGTGCTTTCTCTCTGCTCAGGAGAACTTCAAAGCCGGAGAAGAGAGCGGAACTTGGCCAGTGTCTGCCACGGTCTGCACCGCTCGACAGTCTTTCCGAGTGCTGGCTCTGGCCCGGACGGTCTTCCCCGTTGGCCCTGGAGAAGCGTCGAGTCGGCGCCCCGATGCGATACGAAGCAATCCGCGAGGAGGGCCGGCACAGCCAGCGCGTTTGCCCGCCGGGCTTGCGCTTTGGGACGAGGCCTGGGAAAGAGCAGCAGGACGGGCTCGCGCAACGCGTACTGTGGTATGAAGGGCGAGATGAGGAGGCTCCCTTTTGGGGGAAGGAGGAGGGAGAGTGCACGGTGGGACATGAAGGGCACCGGCTAGGGCGGCGAGAGACCAGCGAACAGCATCGTCGCTGATCGTCTGCGGTCGTCTCTGCACGGAGGCGCGGGGCGGACTGGCCGCGGCGCTCGTTGTACTGTACGTGAGTTCGTCGCCGGAGCGAGAGACATCGCCAACGGGCATGCACAGCGCAGCGCTGCTGTGGCTGAGACCGGGCTTGGGCCGTCTGGCGCAGCCTTGGGCCAACCGCAGCGGTCGCCCGTCCGCATGCGGAGGCTCAGCTGAGATCCCAAACACGACCCGCCGTGGCCAGCGTCGCTCTGTTTTGGTCTGTATTCCTCCTCCGCCTGGACTTTTGCGCTTCAAACGGTCCTCAGCACTTCCACTGCCAGACGCTTCCAGCTCCCCGCCTGCGCGCCGCCGAGCTCCTCCTCCGGTCTTGTCGACGTCGTCTTATCCTCTCACGCCGCCCGCCGCCATCCCGGCCTCTCATTCGCTTGTTTACATCACCCTTCAAACTTGAAACTCGGAACTCCCAGCTGGCCGCAGATTTCAGGACCGAAACCTGCCCGACCTTGCGAATCATCGCTGCCACACTCGGCGACCGCTCGCGTTTGCCGCGCTGCATGTTCTGAGCCCTCCCTCTGTGTGTTTGGCACCGTCCAGAACATCGCAATGTCCTACAACCGCCTCGGTGAGTACAATGCCTGAGCACTCGCCCCTGCGCGCCTACAACAGTCCCAAGGCTACTCGATATGCGTGTGAGAGCGCATGAACGCTAGGCTAAGCGTTGCCATCGAACGGCCTTGCGAGCGAGCCATTGTTTTCCGGGCGGAGGAAATGGGCATGACGTCTCTCCACGCCCATCAACCTGACACAGTGCCTTGAGCCGCCTGACTTCTCCTTGTTGCGCATCTTTTCCCTCCTCTCGAGCCCCCTCCCAACAATCTGACCGCCCTCGCTTGCCGTCTGTCCTACTGCGCTTTCACCAGACCATATGTAACCTGCGTTCAGACGTCCGTCTAACAACACCATCGCAGGCTCGCCGCACGGGGGCAGGGACAACGGCGACGACTACTTCAGTCGATACGACGAGAGAATGGCCTCCCCAAATCAGGCTGGACGCGGCACGCCTGGCTCCCACAGACCGATACAACTGGAAGATAGACCTTATTATGGAGGCAACCAGTCCCCGCTAGAAATTCCCATGGGTCCGGGCCCCTTGGGCAGAGTGGGCACTCCAAGCGATAGACTTCAGGGCCAACCAACCGTACGTTAGGTAGAGTGTGTCTGTCCAGGACGAGGAGAGGCTGATCGGGAACAGTACTCGGTGGAGAACGTCGGCAACTCGTACGGACACGCAGAGCGCTACGACCAAGACTACCCACATCAGCCAGGCAGCTACAGCATCAATCCGCTCGAGCACCACGACGCCTACTACAACCAGCCATACGACCCCAACCACGGTCCGGATCCACCGTATTGGCAAGATGACCACGACCAGCAACCAATGCTACACTCTCAAACCTCGTACGGTCCAGATCCCACCGCCACCCCATCACCCATGGATGAGCCCTATCACGATCATCCGCCCGCACAAACGCCTACACCGCAGCCCGTATCGCAGATCAGGAGGTGGAAAACAGTCAAGGAAGTGCAGCTGTTCAACGGCAACTTGGTGCTGGATTGTCCCGTTCCTCCGCGACTGCTAAACCAGGTGCCCCACGCCGAACCACCGGAGCGTGACGAGTTTACACACATGCGGTACTCGGCCGCGACATGCGATCCGTCCAACTTCTACGAAGAACGCTTTACGCTGCGTCAGCGTCTGTTCGCCAAGCCCCGACACACCGAACTCTTTATCGTCATCACCATGTACAACGAAGAAGACGAGCTCTTCGCGCGCACCATGATTGGTGTGATCAAGAACATCGAGTACATGAATTCGAGGACGAACAGCAAGACATGGGGCAAGGACGCGTGGAAAAAGATCGTCGTTTGTGTGGTTAGTGACGGTCGTGCCAAGATCAACCCGCGAACGCGAGCTGTGCTTGCTGCCATGGGCGTTTATCAAGACGGCATAGCCAAGTCGTACGTCAACAAGAAGGAGGTCACGGCGCACATTTATGAGTACACGACGCAGATGACGCTGGAGATCAAGAAGAACGTGGTCAACGTCAAGCGCGGCAACACCCCCGTGCAGATGCTTTTCTGCCTCAAAGAGAAGAACCAGAAGAAGATCAACTCGCACAGGTGGTTTTTCCAAGCCTTCGGCGAGGTCCTGCAGCCCAACGTCTGTGTCCTCATCGACGCTGGCACTCGTCCGGGGAAGGATTCGATCTACAAGCTCTGGAAAGCCTTCGATGTCGAGCCGCAGTGCGCTGGAGCCTGTGGCGAGATCAAGGCCATGTTGGAGCACGGCAAGAACCTTCTCAACCCCCTCGTCGCGACGCAGAACTTCGAGTACAAGATGAGCAACATCCTCGACAAGCCCATGGAGTCAGCCTTTGGCTTCATCTCCGTGCTCCCCGGTGCGTTCTCTGCCTACCGCTACATCGCACTTCAGAACGACAAGACGGGCAACGGCCCGTTGGAGAAGTACTTCGCAGGTGAAAAGATGCATGGTGCCAACGCAGGTATTTTTACGGCCAACATGTACCTTGCCGAGGACAGAATCCTGTGCTTCGAGCTGGTCAGCAAGAGAAATTGCGCGTGGATCTTGCAGTACGTCAAGGGCTCGACCGGCGAGACCGACGTGCCCACGGAGATGGCCGACTTCATCTTGCAGCGAAGGAGATGGCTCAACGGCTCTTTCTTCGCTGCCGTATACGCGTTGGCGCACGCGTATCAAATCTTCCGCAGCGACCACTCCATGATGAGGAAGCTGATGTTTTACGTGGAGTTCTTCTACCAGACAGTGTCTATGATTTTTGCCTGGTTCGCTTTGGTAAGCTCTGACCCCGCGCAGTTGCCATCACACAAGAAATGTCCGGCGAAGGCTAACCAAAGAATAAAATGTGTTTAGGGCAACTTCTTCCTGGTCTTCCGTATCCTCACCGACTCCCTGAAAGCTAGCAATCTGCTCGGCACTGCCGGAAAGATTCTCTCCATCATCTTCGAATGGGGCTATCTTGCCACGCTCATAACATGTTTTGTGCTCGCTCTCGGCAATCGTCCACAGGGCTCGAATCGTCTGTACATGACGATGGTCTATTTCTGGGCCATCATCATGGCCTATCTTATGTTCGCCTCGATTTTCATCACCGTACGATCCGTGCAATCCGAAGTGGCGGATGGATTCAAAGTCTCGGATCTGTTCAAGAACACGGTCTTCTCGACGCTGATCGTGAGCATGTGCTCAACATACGTGCTTTACATTGTCGTGTCCTTGCTTTTCTTCGATCCCTGGCACATGTTCACCTCCTTCATCCAGTATCTGCTCTTGACGCCAACGTACATCAACATCCTCAACGTGTATGCCTTTTGCAACACGCACGACATCACGTGGGGTACCAAAGGTGACACCAAACCCGAGAAGCTTGGTGCCGCCTCCGTCACTGCCGACGGTAAGATCAAGGTTGACGTGCCCACGGAAGACGCGGACTTGAACACGCAGTACGAGAAGGAACTTCGCACATTCGCCACCAAGTACGAGGTCCCAAAGAAGGAACCGTCGCCGCAGGACAAGCAGGAAGATTACTACAAAGGCTTCCGTTCGGTCGTCGTGCTGGCATGGATGTTTATGAACCTTGCCTTGTGCGCCGTCGTGCTCAGCACAGGTGGTCTGCAGGTCTTGGTGAATCCCGAGGATCAACAAAAGGAGACAGATCAGAGGGCAAAAATCTATCTGAGTGTTGTCCTGTGGAGTGTTGCTGGACTTGCGGCGTTCAGATTTGTGGGCGCTGTTTGGTTCTTGATCGTCAGAATGGTGAGCAGATCCCTCCTCTCTTCAGTCTTACATTTCGATGCAATGAACATATGCTAACTTCAAAAAAAAAAGTTCCGTGGCATTTAGTCAATCAGTTAAGCCTTTTGGTGATTTTTTTTTTAATTCTCTCACACGGAGTTGGCATACGATTGCCATGCCATGTACTGTTGAATTGGCACAATGTGCTGCTCTATTCACGAACTCTGGAACGTGGTCATGAGCTGTATATATGATACCTTATTCTGCGACGGCGTGTATTCTTAAAACAGCATGTTGAATGTAAGGCATTGATATACCGATCCGCACGTGCTGCCCGTTGTTCTCGGACAATTACTCGAGCCATGCTCCAAACGCCTTCAAGGCGACTCCGCTTCGACGCTGCTCTCCTTCCTTTTAAATCTCAACCGATCCCACTGTGTGCGCTGTCAGACTTGGCCTGTTGAGACGCCCTGATGACCCCCTGACGCTGCCATTCTGCCCGAGCTACAAGAGGCAGCGATCCTGTCTTGGAACTCGCCACGTTCAGACGGTAAGCTTGCCGCATGCGGACCATGAAGCGCAAACAGCACTATGGATGATCCCCAGCGAGGCTGCACGCTTGGTCGACCTGGCTGAAGCTTTACGGCTGAAAAAAAAAAGACATAACGAGAGAAGGTACGATAACGAAAATTAAATTGGCTGCTAATCTACCTAGACATGCTAGAGGGTATTTTGAAAGACATTTAAACATGACTTGAAAAAACAAGGGGGGGTGACGTTGAGCATCAGCTCATGTAGCTGATTGTGCAAATGACAGCCCAGCGGCAGTGTCGAGACACTTTCAACCGAGGATTGGTTAATGAACCTATATACCTCCTCTATTTAAGGTGTTGAAGTAGTATCGCTGATGTACATCGGAATATCAGTTGTCCGCCTGCTAAGGTACGTTCATAAATCCAAGAATGCACGTTGAAAGATGTAATTGAAGGACTAGAAGACGTCGTAAGACAAAATAACAATAATAACAATAATAATAATGACAAGCCGAGAAGAAAGGATAGCACGTCACATACGTTAACCACCCAAGAATAACCTCGGTTCGCAACTTCAATATTGTAGCGGATGCTAATTACACAGAACTGGAGTCAAGAAGGTGTCGTTCTCCTAGCCACGTGTTATTTCTCGCAAACAGTTTAGGCATTCCGTATTTGCCAAATATTCGAAAGTACACTTTATATGCTTCTTTCGCGCCAAGCCCTAAAGCACGAGCTAAAGGCTCAAAATTATTCGTGACGTTTAAGTCGTAGTCTTTCTTGTAGGTGCTGACGACGAGCGCAAGCACTTCTTGACAACTCAACCTGTAATCCGCTCGCACTGTCGAATCTGCTAAGCCAAGCAGGCCGAAAACCCTGTCCCGGAGATCGGTGCAATGAAAGCTAGAGAACTTGCGTAGTAAGACTGGCAAGCGTCTCTCGATACGGTCGTTCTCCTTGAAGTATCTCTGCTCCATTAGGTATGTCAAAGTCCGGTCGTTAAATTCAAGCTCTCTCGCATGGGCAGCAACGTGCTGTCTGAAATCTTTCCACGTAACAACTGTGTTGCCGCAGCAAAGTAAAAGGTCTTGTGCTAGGATGAACTCTTGTATTATCCAGACGCGAGTCCAGTACTCATTGCTCAGAATCCTTTGCGTCGTCTCGAGTTCTTCACATCTATCAGTCATGGATCTTCGCTCGGCCCAAGAGCTCGTCGATGTGTTATCAGGCGTGAGCCAAACAAGCACAAAGCTCGCCTTGGAGTATATCTGGCTCATTATTCCTACTTGGTGATTTTTCTCCTTGGTCGAGGTTTGGTCTATGCAGATGGCGTCAATCCACCACCATTTCCAACGTTCCACGTCGTACATCAACTTTCTGCTCGAGTTCCTGGATCCTGATTCGTAGCTTGCTTGCTGGGCCCACAACCTGCTCGCCAGAGAAATATTCTTGAGAAACGAATACAGATTGTTGCGAACCTCGAAACAGTACCCACCGAGATTAATATATTTGGCAGGTTGCTCCGGACCCCATGTGTGGCTAAGCGCGATAAAAGGGGGACAATTATTTAAGTCGCTAAACTGTTTGAATACACATATGATGTCGCCGTCGGGAGTGGTGGAAAATGATGCGAGTCGAATGCTCCTGGAGTTGTCGCTCAACGTTCGGTACGGTCCTGAGGGCATATTTAAGTCGAAGGGAATCCTATCTGTTCCTTGGCTGGCTGAAGATGGCATAGGATCTGAGTACAACTGGTCCAGGAAGTGGTCCCAGCCGCTGTTTGAAGTGGTATTCCGGTGTACAAATATCGGCATGTCTCTCCTGAGAGCGCCCTCGGCAGTTTGAGACCGATTACTACTTACGATTGAATACATTCGCTTAAGCTCTTCATCGTAAAGCCAACAATTGTCCAAGGCCTCCGTGCGGCATAGCTCGAGAAGCCTGCATGCTTCTTCTATCCGTCCTTCCTCCTGGAGCTCCCGTGCTATATATATAATGTGTAATACTTCTTCATTACAATCCATTACGTATCCATTCCAAAATGAATATCTCGGACCATGTGATAGGTTCAAGAGAGTAACAACAAGATCAAGGTCTGTGACTTAGGATGAGGACGTGCTAAGCATATTCGAACGTCGAATGCTTTCCAAATAAGGACGTATGTGAATGGATACAGCGCATACTTTGGGACCACAGAACTCTCATGTGAATTTCCAGGTGATTTTTAAAGGGTTCATGTCTGCAGAGCACTCAACCTTCGTTGCAGGAGTTTCCAAAAGCCATAAAGTGGGGCACAGTCGTCATGTGATATCAGCTGAGATCGGGGACAAGACGTAAGTTAGCACAAATTATCTGTGTGGAAATCAGGCACTCAATTTCACTCTTTTCAAAGACTGTAATGTGATTGTTGAAATTACAGAACATACGAGCAGCCAGAATTGTTGGAATTCTGTACTTGCAGACACACGTTCCCCAAAAGGATGGTTTCGTCTAGAAATCATCCTAGTGAGCAGGCTTATACTCCGCAGCGGCTCGAGCTGCAATCATGCGCTCAATATGATCATTGAGCCAATACTCCCTCAGAATTTCATCACTCAGATCTTTAGCCCCGCTGATTCTACCCTTGCATTGACTGCTTCCACAGGTACAGTCAAATGGTTGATCCATCTCCCATTCAGAACTTGGATACCAAAATGTGAGAGCATCACCCTTCTTGAGGTCCCTGTGTGGGGCAACACGGATCTCAAACCTCGACATATCGAAGATGAGACTCGGGTCGCAAGAGTGGTTGCAGTAGACGAGGTCAGAGTTGAGCTCAATATGGTCATTCTCTGACGTTTGAACCGAAGTATACGCCTTGACTGCTGGAGAAGCGTTTGTGATCCTTGCGAAGAGGGAACCCGCAGGAAGGTCTACCAAAGAAATGGCACGAGACCCAAATGCTTTCTCAGAGCGCTCCACGTAAAGGCGGGACGCCAGGTTTGGGACCTCATCCCACGGTCTGGCTTTAGGAATACCTCTGTAGAGGGCCTTCCCGCCATTTGGGAATTTGTGGCCATTGGTCATTGGCAAGGCATTCAAAAGCGCCATTTTTGATCAGCTTTAATTGCTTTGTGTGACTTCTGGACAATGTTTCCTAGGCAACCTGACCGAATGCCAGTCAGTCGTGTAATAGAATCATTAGGAGGGCTTGTCTCTTACAAGTCGAAGGCTCAATACAAAGATTTGAGCAGGAGAGAAAAGAACTCTGGCACAAACTCCATAAGAGTAAGCTGATTGAGTCTTTCCCGCAATCGGGGTTGTGTAAGATAGTTGGTCTTGCAGAGGGTGTTCGAAAACGGCGTCTTCTTATACAGCTTTGAGAAAGAGCTGCGCGTTTAGAGTACTGCGATGGCGGAGACGAGCAGGTGAAGGGAGCAGAGTATTAAAGGCGTGGTACAGCCGAAGCGGCCCGAAATGCCTAGGTAAAGTGGGTACGAGGACCAGAACTTGGACGAAAAGGAACGGGATCCCAAGAAGTATTTGCAGACGGGAGACCAATATGGTACATGGCGTGGTGTAAATAGGCTAGAAACCTTGAACAAAAAAAACAAATATAGGGCTTAAAGTACCTGCATTGCGGCATTGGCAAAAGTGTCTGCTCATTGGATGCGATGCAAAAGATCGGACCATCATGTGAGGTGTGCTTGCATGGTTGTGCGTTTTTCCCCATGGGGATTTTTTGACAGATTTCTTAAGGGCAGCTTTTGAAGGGTTAACTCTCGATTATCTGTATCGCAAATGCTCATTTACCAACGACCAAAGGACTTTGGTATTCGCTTTTGAACACCGTGCCCACGGGTCAACGGAAGGCGGGTGGGGGCTTGGAGTGAAAAGCAGCTGAACAGCGAAATTGTAGCTTCGGGATGCTCTTCAGCTAGTCTCATGCAGCATGTGGCCTAATCCACTTTTTTGCCAGACTGCATCCCTGACGAAGGGGACGCCCGGCGGGGATTGATCAGCTTTCGGTGTGCCTCGAAGGTAAAAGCATGGAACTACAAGTACGGAGATTCCTCTCGTAAGATGTTTGACATGACGAATTTCCCGCAGAGCATGCCCACGTGGAACGCAAGTATCTAACGATCACGACATGTGCGACCAAACGGTATACGCTGCTGTCGATCGCAAGGATGCGCGACTAGCATCCTGAAAAGCCATTCTGTACATTGAGTGGGCTCTTCGCCGTGTTCACAGTTGTACCGGTTGGAGTTGGAACGTCGAAGTGCAGCCTGTTTTGCCGTAAGAGGAAGGAATGTTGCATCTGGGTAACACAGAATCCACCAGATGTAATACCGAGGCGCAGATAGTTGGTTGAAGGTCTTGAAACAGCGAAATCCTAACAACTCGTGCTCGGGAGACGTCGAATTCGAAATGACGCACATTCCGAGCCCAGGCGAAGCCTGAAACGGAAGTGGCTGCATCGCGACAGGTGATTTTGTTTCTTGACCACCTGGCAAACCATTTCTTCCAGTTGACTTTGCGGCTTTTGAATACTGCCACGAATCCTACGCGGGAATGCCCGTATACCTTGTATGGTACAGTAAAATTTTAATCTGGTCGCTGTCAAGCTTAAAGAATCGGATGTCTCGTTTGTATTCGCGCATCGCGGTGACATAGTGTAAGCATGTGACTGAGCGTGGTGGTCACAACTCTGTACGTGCTCAAGACACTGATGCCACCTGATATGGGCTCTGCCTACTTGGAAGGAACCTCACATCCTATGACTTTGAAAACGATGGCAAGCGAAGTGTTGCAAATCCAAATATCGCTTACATTCGAGCGCTGTACTCGCTCGCCGTTTCGCTCGGGGTTGCAAATCCCCAAGCTCTGTAGATTCTCTGATATGTCTGACTTCAATACGAGTTGGATTGCGAATTCGTCTAACTGGTGGAAGGGACACAAGAAGTTTTCCGGTATGAGCCGTTCTTTCTTGAAGATGCGGCATTCCTTCCTGCATGCAGGATACAAGCAATGTGGTGCCATTGTGTCGTTACTTTATGGGAGCTGGACATAACAGCACAATTAGTGCCAAAGCAACCAAGCGAAACTGCAGGATGCCATGATACTCTTTGCCAGAGTCGTAAGCCGATGATTTTATGTGCATGACTTCTCAGCGTTTTATTGGACACATTTGTGATTTGGGATACGAGTCACTGCGGTCGCTCGTTGTTGAGGGATTTTTGCGAGATCTTGAGTAGTAGGGGATGTCTCTATGATCTAAGATTTGACGGCGGCACGTTCTTGGTGTGTTTGCGAGTGAGTGGATGTGTGAATTGCTTCGCAGCCTTGGCTAAAGTCGATCCAATGTCTTTCGTGTAGCCTGAGAGACAAGAATTCAATGGCTGTGCTGAACTATGTTAGCCGCAATAAAGAAAACCCCCTAATGATATGAGGCCTTTATCTATTCTTTTTCTTAATCTGATCACAGTGACACATAAGCCATGGCTACTGAGCCCTACTTATTACTTTCGCGGCCGAAATGATCACAATTTTTCCACAGCAAAGATCACGAAATATCAGTATTTTCCTCACTCGAGTCAGTCCGAAAATTGAGCTAGAATTGAGATGTTGGATCTCTAGTCTTGTCCTGGTAGTCTTGAGAAGATGCAAAGGTGATATCAGAAAACTAGGCGTAAACTTGTCGGCATAGAGAAAACACCTGGGACACGTGGAACTGGCAGAGGCGGATTAAAAGCTCAACGCGCAAGAACTGCTGATAACTATTCAGTTCTCTGGTACGGAACGCTGTGCAATCTGTTCAGGGCGGTTCTGAAATTCTACCAAGCTGCAAGCCGGACTATTCACTCATTGCTGTCAGCATTGCCCTTGATCTTCGGTAGAATGCCTAATGCCATAAAGCAATATGCTACGTGGCAATCTGAGCCGCATTCAAAGACGAAACGTTACATAGAAGCGAAATTGTTGCGTCGAGAGAAGTCAAATGGCGCAGGACTTTGAGAAAGAGACTCCAAGAAAACGTGAGCAAGGCCATACGCGCAGACTATCATCTCTACGTTCTCTTTAAACACGAGAAAGTGGGCAGGTAGATCGATGAGTGTAACCATATGGTATCTTGAAGAAGACGAGAGCCCTCCGCAATGAGGTGCCGAATAATCACGCGCGTGTACAGCTTGGAAGTGTGCCTTAAGAGATCTATCGTAGTGCCTGTGCTGTCGAGGGCTTTCACTCTGGCCAAGACAACCACAAACTGAGCAAACTCGATTCCGGTAAGTTTTACATTCACTGATGCGTAATCATAGGTGTCGATGTTTCGATGCGCCTACGTATCTACTTCTCTCTTTCCTCTCTTTCCCCTCTTTCGTTTTCGCCTTCGATCGTTTAGCTAGGTGTTCCCGTACCATCGTAATTAGCGTTTGCTTGGTTATGCAGTGGCCTGTCTATCAAGCACAGTAGGTTGACGAGGACTTTTGAGTCTTGCGGAACTTTCACCGTCTTCCACCATTTCGGTGATTACTTTGAAACTCCGAAAGAACCAACTGAGTCATATTCCTAACTGCTGCCGCGAGAGTCTCTGTGTTAAGAGACAAAGATTGGTCAAGACCTATCTGGCCCGTTGCGTGAGATGGCCGCTTTGCTGCTCAATTTTGATCCGTGTCCGATCGCAACAACAAAGGGAAACACACGCTTGAATAATTGAGTTGCTGCGAATAACAGCAAAGATCTACGGAGGAGAAGCCCGACGGGCGTACTACCACACGACGTCAGGTTCGCCACAGCGACATCCAGCTAAAGACACCGAGTTCCGAATGTGAGATCGCCGGGGATTCGGATAACGTGACACCTGTTTGAACTGCAATGGATGTCCGGTACCAAAGTCTGGCCATGGTGAAGGGCGGGAGCCTACTCCGCCGGCCCGGTTCACTCGAGTACTTGGTTCAGGATTCGGTTTTTGCGAAGACCAAACCGTAAGGGCCTGTTCGAGAACACGGTCAACAACACAAGTCACTGCCAGGAATTTGGGACTATTCGAGGCTGACGCGAGGCCACTACGCAGCTGAGCAAACTCTCTGCTGGCTGTTTGACAAGAGCATGTCACGAGCCTTTCGGGACTCGACTGCTGCACTGCGTCATGCCACCAGGTGCGGGCAATGACCAAACAAGTCGCGATGCATGATGCGCCTTGTTGCACCGCTGATGATGCAGTCTGGCTACATGGCCGCAGGTGTGCGCAAACGCGGCGAAGGCTGGATGCCAAAGGGTGCGGGAGTCATTGGCAAAGCGGGCGTGGGCGGGATGACTGGTGGGCGGAGGACAAGAGGCACGCGTCGGCAGTCGCAGACCCGCAGTCGTGCATGCGGACCAGGAGGGCTCGAAGGTGGGGAGCTTCGCCTTGACGGGAGCTCCAGGGACCGCCAGTTGACTCTTGAGCATCTGCACTCAACAAAAGACACAACAACCGCGCCCACTCCTCAGCCGGCCATCTCGCAGACAGAGCCGGTAGAACTACGCAGACAGCCAAACAGCCGCGCTAGCAGCACACTCTCTAACATTCGGGACGGGCTCCCGGAAACATCGTTCCGCACAGGCCCCAACCTCGCCCTCCCCTCGTATCGTCATTACACGTCTGTCACCAACGGATACGTTCCTTTGCCACAGCAGCTTGTGGACACATACACCTCATAGTTGAATCCCTAGGCACCAACACGCTTTTAGCTGCTCCTAGCCACGCGCAAGGTACACGCACGACTTGTTCCTCCTGGCATCTGACGCCACCGTCTCAGCTGAACGAGCCTCCTGCTACGGTGTCGCCGTTCACAGGCAGCTTGCTGCGTTGAAGAGATAGCCACCGCCGTCTTGGAGCGTCAGGCTTTGCCCAGTCTCTCCACCTAACATACCGCCTACTCCGTGCACCCTCCCATTGTTCATGTCCCCTCCGGACAACCCCCACCAGAACCCACCGCCTCAGAATCTAAGCTTCCTGTACCAACGGCACCGCAGCCGCGTGCAAGACTTCCAGCAACTCCCGCGACCTACTAGTCTCGGGAATCATGATTTGGATAGAAGGGAAACGTATGGGGAGAAGTTCTCCCGGATGTATCCTCGGGACGTGTGAGTTCTTATCCTTCTCTCTGACCATGCCTGGTGCATCCTGCTTTTAGCTGTACGGAATAATTTCGTTTCCGGGTACGCATTACGCTGTGGTGGTCAACTATGCGAACTCTTACTCTCCGCGAAGGATTCTGCGAAGTGGTTCATTGCCGGCTAAGCTGTGTTTCAATGTACTTGCGAGCACATACACTGCCATTCGATTTTCCTTCTACAAAGTGTAGCAGAGAACTAATTCTTACCGGAATAACAGGAGGCAAACTTCGGGCGGTGGTCAGAGATATGGCTCGCCCTCTTCGCCACACCCTGTGACCTCGCCGCTACTCTCTGCCTTGAGCGCAACGACGAACACGGCCGCCCAATATACGAGCGACTGGACAAAGTCTCTACCATACTTTGCTTCAGGACCATCTGTCGGCGTTGCTGATTCCCCTCCCAACGCAATACCCATTCAAGTGCCAAGAGATGCCATGTCTGCCTCTCCGCCCTCCGTGAAGCCCCACAGTCAACCAACCAACAATCCCTTGCCGAGTCTGAGCCCGCGCGTAAATCCCTCAAGAGAGCGCCGTGCGTCCTTGTATTCGCAAACTGACAACTTCAACTTGTATCGTGGCAATGCACCACTGCCGCACGAGGATCAACCTCATTTTCATCTTGGAGGTCTTCCCGATCTCGACTCTATTGGTGTCCCGCAGCAACCAGTCTTCAACGGCCTAATGCCGGGCGAGAAGGGATATTTTTGCGGCTGGGACACTTTAGGAAATGCTGGTCACGCTCCCTCAGCAGCTGCGGAAAATGTGATAATCACTGGCTACGAAGGCGGTCTCAATGTGTATCGCGTCAATAAGAAGGAGAAGCCTGTACTCATTGGTTATTTGAAGGGCTTGAAGGGTGCTGTTCTGGATGCAAAGATACTGCCATGGACCTTTAGCAATGACCCTGGCGTCAACGAGCGACCGTATATCGCTTTGGTAATTCATGGCCCCGTCATTGAAGACGTGGTGGAGCCTCAACACTCCAGCGACGAGTCCGCCGCAATGAGTGCCGATGATGACAGCCCTACACCTTCGACTCGACCTGCCTCCAGAAGAGACAACTACCCCTCTGCCGATGAGGCAATCAAAACCTACCGCACAACTGTCGAAGTTTATTCACTAGCTACGGCTCGTCACATCGAGACCATTTTCGCAGCACCTCCTGTTCCGTTCAAGATGCCAATGTCGCCATTTTCAGATTTCAGCATCCCGTCGCCGGTAGGCGACCTGAAGCTGGACGCAAACGGCAAGTTCCTGATCGTTGCATCTGGAGAGAGCGGGGAGATCTTCGTTTTTTCGCCTGGTAACAAGGCGAAAACAGGGAATTTGGAAACGGTGAGATGCATCGGCAAGCTCTGGACGACCGTCGAAAAACGCAATGCGCGGCGTACATCAAATGGCAACGCTGCTCGGCACGAGCCTTCGACTGAGGAGCCAGAGCCACGGTGTAAAACACCGCTTTTTTCCCTTTCCCATCGTTTCCTGGCTCTAGTTCCCCCAGCACACTCGACGTATTCGATCAATGGTACCGCCAATCTCGACAGCTCTGCTCGGAAGCCCCCAGGCATCGGCAACCACGTTGCTCCAGCGCAGGTTGCATCGACCTGCGACACGGATGAGAACGAGAGCAGCGATTTCATGAATCGAATGTCGCGAGAAGTGACGCAAAGGGCCGTTGTGGCAGGCACTTATTTGAAAGATCGTGGAATGAAGGCGTGGGACAATTATTGGAACCCCGGTAATAATCAGCCGAGGAGCAGAGCGTCATATCCTGTGGGAGACCAGGTTGTGATGGCTCCTCTCCCTCCGACACATGGTTTCAATGGGCCAATTGCCGAGACAACAGAGTCGCAGGTGGCCATTTATGACCTTCAGCGATTTCTTGATGCGGAGGAAGTTTCTAAAATTATGAAAGGAAGAAACCCTCTCTCGCCGCTAGCAAGCTTTGATCTTGCATCTGGATGTAGTCTACTATCCTTCGCCCCTTCAGGACTGCATCTCCTCACGATTAGCCGCAAAGGTGATGTGCACAATGTGTGGTCTCTGATGAAGATGAAAGACGCCCGCGCCGGACCCTCTTCGACAATTACAACAAAGCCGATTGTGCGAAAGATCTTCACGAGTACGCGGATGACGACGACAAAGATTATTGATGTGGACTGGTCTGAGCCGCACGGCCAACGATTCGCGCTGCTCAGCGAAAACGGTACTGTACATGTTCATGATATACCGGCATCAAGATTCAAATGGCCGCCGGCCCGACGCTCAGGGCAGTCCTATTCCGCGCAGCGGTCTCACGAAGAAGCACGTGCAGCTAAGGGTAGAGTTGGATATGGCGGATACGCTTTCAACGCTCTTAACGGCGCGTCACAGTGGGTTCAGAATGCGCGCCAGCGAAGCCTCAGCGGACAGCTGGCTTTCGGAAGCCTGGCATTGACACCTGCAAACTTCAGCAAAAAGGCAGTGAAAGCAGGATTCAAGCAGGGCGCCAGCGCAATTGCACAGGGCGCGACGAATCTGTGGCACGTGAGTGACAACAAGCTCTACCTCCAGTCGAAGCTGGATGTGCTGCGGCCGAGATCGATACGTCTACTCACTGGCCGTAACATGCACGGCTATCTTGGTGTTGTGGCTGCCGGGTTGGTGTGCTTGTACCAGATCAAAACTGTCACATCGTCGCGCTCGACCCAAGGGCCGAGGATGTATCATGCGAAGATCTCCAAGAAGGGCATCGACTACACACTCAACGCAATCCCGTCGGATCAATTTGCTCCTGCCATACGGGCCATTATGGAGAGCCGTGCAAGCGGAGCTACGACCATGCCGGAAGGTGCGACAGTGTCAGGACATTGGTCACTGCGGGCGCCGCACACGTCGCTCAGAACGGCGGTGTTGCACGGCCGCAGCGAAGATTGGAGGAACATGGTAGAGTTCACAACGAACCCCGCTCATATTGCTTTTCATCAGGACGGGCGCGTGTCGCTGTTTGGCTTTGCGGAACCTGAACAGCCCCCCCCACGAATGCCTGACCGTAGCTCGACACAGGAGGACTTTCAGCAGTACGATGCCGATCGACGAGCGTACGAGGAAGAGGTGCTGATACCGCATGTTCGCGCAGAGCACCACGTAGACGACGACTCCCCATGGCTGTTTGGAGCTCCGCTTCGCGGCCTGCGCACCATCAAAGAAGGAGCCGGAGGCTTCACGCCGACCGAGGACGAAGAAGGCGATTTCGAGTACAACATGGTCAAGCTGGACGACGGAACGGGGACGCTGGTGTTGAACACGGTGCCGCGGACCTCCAAAGCAGAGGACGAATTCTTTGAGGACGGCGCAGAGTTGGTTGATTTTTCCGAGGGCATCGACAGGGCTTAGAAGAGACCTACATGGCGTTTCCCACCTCTTTTCACTGTTTTGTCTTTCCCTCCTGTCTTCGCTTTGCTCACCGCTTAGTTATGAAGAGGCTGCCTGTTGCATCGCTGCTGCTTGTACCCACGGCGCGTGAACAAGAGAATGGATGAAAGGGGGCCGTACACAAGGGATCTAGAACACGACGCGAGGAGAGAGCAACGGGATGAGTTTTGAGATGGACAGATACCCAATGAAATACGCTTTGAACACAGAGATTTGGAAAATCCTGCAGGATCTTGGTGGTACCTTTTTTATTGCCCTCCTTTTTCCTTCTTTCTCTACATCTCGTACGTGTTTGACGCGTGAACAAGCGGTAACGACCACCCTGCGTCTGGCAAAGACATGTGCCACATGGACGAATATGAGGACCTCGCAAGGTCACAGCGAAAAGGTTGAGATCAAGAGTAGCCAAAAGTCTCTGCCTGGGACGCGGAATCGTGCAAGGGCCGCGGACATGCTGGCGACATGAGCACTGGGCGGCGGCCCAAGTCGCATCAAGACCCCTCCTCACGGCCTCACTATAGATACGATGGCGCCCAACCACTCGCCCTCGCTGCTGGGCAGAACGCCGACCGTCGCTGTTTATTTTTGTCATTATTTTTTTGGTTCTCTTTGATGTGTCCTCCCCTCGCGCCCTCCCCCCTCTCCGTGGAAATCGGCCCGGGCAAGGCGCCATGCAGAAAGTCAAGTCCCTGACCCCTTCTCCCCGCGCCCCCCCC